TGGCGGCAAACCACGATCGTGAATGGCGGCAAACCACGATCGTGAATGGCGGTAAACCCAGCTTTAATGGTCGCTACCCGCAAACTGGACTAACTCGACTCGTCGCTACCCGCGAACTTGACTAACTCGACTCGTCGCTACCCTGCGAACTTGGCTCGTCGCTAATCCGCGAACTTGACGTGCACGTCCCCGCTGCTATCAGCGGCTCCCTGAGGTAACCTGAAACCTCAGCTTAAATGGGCCCCCCGCTGCTGCGGCTTCCTGAGCAAAAAGCTCAGTTGTAAACTAATTCCCCGCTCTAAGCGGCTCCCTGAGCGATCTGCTCAGCTTACCTTCCTGGCGTTCACCAGCTGACTTCTATCGATTCACAGCGCCAGTTATCTTCTTTCTATCCGAGTCACAGCACCAGATATATTCTATCCGAGTCACGGTACCAAATATCGGGGGTCCTCCCGTCCCGCGGAAGAAATCACCCGACACTTGAGAGAGTCTCCAAGGCGCTTTTTATTCTGCTCCTCCGTCCCGCCGTGACCGTTGTCCGTTGACCGTTATATCCGTTACGCTCCAGCCCCTCCCCCGCCAAGCCCCCCGCTTAACTGTCAAACTTGACCAATCAACTTAAAGAGAACCAAGGCACACCAATCAGGGCAAAGGGCCAATCACAGGGCAGGAAATGGTCAGTGCCCCCAACACACACACACATATACATACAGTATCACAATTGCCACTTACCTTTCAGGTTAGATTTTGACTTCTCATGTATATTTGCCTGCAAAAGAGAATTTATTGTTTGGTCAACACTTATATAACATGTGTAATTCATTTGAGAACTATGGATTTCATTATCAATGACTGCTCAAATTTATACGTCAACTCATGACAAACTTCTTTTTGGCCATGGACACTGTCAGTGAGTTCCCTGAACCTGCCTAATGAGAGTCACTCCTTTAGCCATGAAATTTCATCTGGGGGATGACACCCTGACTCACTAACCAACCTCTTCTGGTGACAGGCCTAAACCTATTTTCTTTAAAATGGTCCTAATACCTAGAGGCAATGCCCTCTTTCTGAATACACTTTGTTTCTTTCAGTTTTCCAAATAAAACTTTTCTTTAAAAGATCTGAAAATTTCCTCAAGTTTAAGGTATTAACAATCCAATACAACCAAACTGCATCATCTGTGGGGTGCATTTCAGTAGATGATTGGTTTAAATCAAAGGAATCAGGCTTTGCTTTTGGAATCTCAGGATTCACTGAGCTGAGTACAGGCAATGTTTTTCACTGGGTTGCACTCCAACTGCTCCTGAAAATCTTGCAAACAGATGCCTTCTTTAGATACTTTTTCAGTTGGCATAGATATAAAGACACCTTCAATCCAACACAATTCTTGACTGTCCCTTGCCAGACCATAACTGATCTCTTTGGTCCAGGTCACAGTGGAACTCCATGGGGAAGCTCTAAGGCACCAGCATCTCACAAGGACCTTCTTTGTAAAGCTGAACAAATATTTGCCTCCAGCTCACACAGATGACTCCTGGAACTTGGTTTTTACACATACATTCATACGCATCTGCACCTCTGCTGCTCGCAGTCCTAGCTGGACCCTTAGGGCTGGGACTAATGCATCTTAGGGGATGGAGAACCTCAGATATCCTCTGTGAGTTCTCACAGCCAGACACAGCTATGAACTGGGACAACATTCCCTCCCTAAGTTTGCCTGGGACAAAGTTTGGCTATTGTCCAGATCACACCCATAAGAAATTACTATGTCCAACACCTCCTATCACATCTTTGTTAATGGATATGAAGGACATCCTGGAACATATATCAGATGAAATGGTAACTATATGTCAGACTTGTTAATAGGTCATGTTTGTGTCATGCATTTTTATAGGAAAGTTCTGGAGTGAAGTAAAAGGGACCCATATTAGAAGAATAGCGACTCTTCTCTGGCCCAGATTTGCCACATGCCATCCATGAACATGGGCAGTTGGTTATATCCTTTCAGATGAACATCTCTTTATGGGCAAGATCAGCATTTTAAAAGTTGTTGTATATGCTGTCTGTATTTATTTGCTGAGATTGCCAAAGCAAAGTGCCACAGAAGGAAATGGATTGTCCTAGGAGGCTACCAGTCTGAGGTCAAGGTGTCGGGTCCTTTTGAGGACTGAAAGTGACCAATCAGTTTTAAGCATATTATCTGGCTTTAGGTGGTTTGCTGGCAAACCATTGGCATTGCTTGGCTTACAGAGGCATCACCCTGATCCCTTCCTTCACTCTCACATGGTGTTCTCTCTGTGTGGGTGCGTATCCATCCCTGTGTCCAAGGTTTCCTATTTTGCAAGGATACATCCTATTGAGATATACCTAATGACCTCATCTTAACTGGATCATCTATCGAGACCCTATTTCCAAATAAGGTCATCCTCACCAGTACTAGCGGGTCAGGAATTCAGCAACTTTTAGGGGATGCACTTGAACCTGTAGCACAGATTCTTCTGGGCAAGCTTCCCAGCTATAGAGCTGCCTTCTTCACCCTGCCATCAGCTTCCTGGGATTTTTTTGTGCAATAGCATAACATCACGGGTGGAAAATTCCTCACTGATGTCATGTGACTGGTCCCAGTCAAAAGACAGGTACACTGACGCTATTGTATGAAATGACCTTCAGTGGCTTTATGCACATGAGGTGTGTGTGAAACATAGATGGGTTTTATGTTTGTACTTGGATCCTATCCCAAGATATCTCATTATGCAAGTACAATTTTCCAAAATCTGTAAACGCCTGAAATCCAAAACACTTTTGGTTACAACCCTTTTGAGGAAGGGATACCCAACCTGCACTTGATTGACATAGGGTAAGTGCTCAGAAAAGTTTTGGGTATTATTACTATCCATTCCTTGAATCAGAAAAGCTAAGTAAATGATTCCTCATCGTGGATTCATGCTAGGGTCATGCTAAGAGGAGGACATTTGGCAGAATGTTGGGTTGCTGCAGGGCCGCTGGTGTTCCATATCAGAATGCCTGGTTGTGGGTTGTGTGCTGACGTCTCTCAGATGCTGGCATTGCAGGCAGTGGCTTAACTTGCTGTATCACGATTCCAGTCCCCAGTAAAAAAGAAATTTAAAAAAGGATGATATGGGGAAATTTCTTAAAACAACTGATAGTTTGACTTTACTCTATAACTGACAGAAATGATCCTAGAAGGAACCCTGGCACTGATATGTTTTTGAAGTCCTTGGCTTATTTTCATCTGCATTCATGCCTGAGCACCATCAGAATAGATGAAAGTACGAAGGGAAAGTCTGCAAGTGGTTGAAAGTAGTTACTTAGTCAGATAGGCAGAGCGTGGAGAAGCCTGATGGTGATGGCCACAGAAGGCACTTGGGAAACTCGTAACTTAGGAAGCTGGATGTCAGAGCCATTTCTTGTTTTGAAGTCTTCCTGTGCCATTTTTCCCCCAAGCCTCTCCCTGGTGGGGACATTGGGACAGTGCCCTGAGTCTTCCTTCCCACCACAAAGCTCCATCCCTTTGCTCACCTAGCTGATCTTCCCCTCCAGCTGCAGGTCCGTGATTGAAATTCGCAGGGAGCTCAGTGCTGGCTAGCAGCTTGACATGCTGCCCTTGCCCAGGCTGGTCACCACCAAACTCAAAGGATCCTCCAGCAAGGCCATTTGCCACACCCCGGCGCGGACTAGAGCAAAGCAGCTGACAGCTTTCATGTGTCCCACTCGGTGGGGACAGCTTGCTGTAAATCTCTGTAATCCCCAAAGCTCCTAGGCTTGGGGCCTGCAGCCCCTCTATTCCCCAGAATCACCTCCTCCTGCTATCATCAGACCAATCCTCTCTGTGGGTGCACATGGTTCCTATGATTGTTGCTGGAGTGGATTGGCCTAGCTGCTGTCATTCTCACCAATTCAGGGGACAGTTCTGGTTTTCAGGCCTCCTCACTGAGGGAAGAGGCCAGCTGTAAGGGGCTCCCTCACCTCTTTGTGTCCATCTTATCATCCGCAACCCTGGCTACTTTGAGCTCTTGCTTTCTTACAAAACCGCCTTTGTCCCCTTTCGCACCAGACACCTGTCACACATCTGCTAGAAGGTCTCCAATTGTCTCCAATGCTCCTGAAGGAAGGTGAGTGAATTTTTCAGTGAATGCATATGTATTATAGATGACATGATATATAAATAGAAGCAATGTTTAATGTTTAAGCTACTTAAAAGTCCCTCTTGAATCATTACTATGTAGAGGTTAGGAATGTTCGTCTACTTCTTGGACCATTAATGGAAGTGGAGTAACTGAAATAAAGGAGGTGGTAATTCTCTTGATTATCATCTACTTGGAATAGTGTGTTTGCTTTGGCACTTACCAGTTTTCCGATTTTAATCAAGGCTGAGTCAAAAGGAAACAAGTTGGTTAACTTTGACTTAACTTTGCAAGATCAATGCTAGGATGGAAATTTCTCTATTAAATTCTGAGACTGGGTGCTCAAATTCCACTTGGTGTCTCATAGTCAAGCGATTGCCTTTTGCTGCTGGCATCTGGTGTGGGGGGGAAATGAGTCCCTCTAAGTGGGCCAAAGTGGGGGAAGTAGTAGCTCCCCAACCAGAGGGCAAGCCTTCCCTTGATCGCCTGGGGTGGGTTCCTGCTGCCATTTCAGACAGAACTGATGCAGTTAAAGCCTGAATTTCCTGGCAAGCTCCAGGGTAGGTTTTTCCAAAAGGCATTTTAGACCGCGAAGGCACAGCCTTTCCATGTCTAATCACGAAAGCATAGCACTGGACACATGCTCTCTGTTTCCAGCTGTGTGTTTTCTCCACACTCCAACAGAAACGTGCCAAGGTGTGACATTTGTGAACTCCACCCCCTCACCCCCCCACCAACTGGGAACCGCGCACACAAATCTGTCCTGCCTGTGGTGTGGGAGAGTGATGAATGGGGGCCGTTCTGCCTGGGGAGGAGGGCGGCTGTCACTCTGGCGTGCTTGCAGCCTTATTTATTACATACCAAAGTATATAACCACCCGGCGGACTACAGCTCACATCTCCAGCCCTGGCATCTGCCCGTGGAGCCCACGGTGCCTGGGGCTGCCGCCGTCTTCCTGAGGAGGTCCGTGGCTCTGTTTGAGAACCATGCTCTGGAGACAGCTCGTCTGTTGGCACCTGCTGGCTTTGCTCTGCCTCCCATTTTGCCTGTGTCAAGATGAATACATGGAGGTGAGCGGAAGAGCTAACAAAGTGGTGGCAAGGATAGTGCAGAGCCACCAGCAGACGGGTCGTAGCAGCTCCAGGAGGGAGAAAGTGAGAGAGCGGAGCCATGCTAAAACTGGGACTGTGGATAATAACACTTCTACAGACCTAAAACCCCTGAGACCAGATGAGCTACCGCACCCCGAGGTAGATGACCTAGCCCAGATCACTCCATTCTGGGCCCAGGTACTCAGAATTCTCTTCTAAGGATTTCTGTGAAAGCCTAATGATTTGTGTTGCTGTTATTGTTGCTGCTGTTGCTACTGTTGCTGTTGTTGCTTAGATTCTTAGGATTAACGCTTGGGGGAACTGTGCTAAACTGCTTGTGGGTCTCTCTCTGCATTGCTCTGGGATCTGAGAGGGACTGTCGGTCTCTCTGGCAATGACGGTTCTGAGTGGCCTCAGCCTTACCCCATCAGAGAGGAGAACGGGACAGCGGACTGCTTCTCCTGATGTAGGAACTTGCTTTCTTTACTAGTCTGTTCATGGAGCACTGACCCATGGCAACAGAGCCAGCTCTGTAGACACTCATTAGCCTAACAGTTGGACTGTCTTAATCCTTCCCTGCAGGAGGCAGTTGTCCTCTGTGTCTGATAAAAACGATCAAAGTTCTTTCACTTTGATTTGTGACTTAACTTTGACATTTCCTACCAATCTTGTTTATAACAATTAGAGTAGTCTCTATAGCTCAGCCTATATGTTCAGACTGTTGGAAAAAAGAGTTAAGGAAAATAAGACCGTGCATGCTTAAAATACAAACCTTCTGGTGTGGTTGGCATCTGAGAGACACCAAGCAGTTGATGTGTTTCTCAGGGTGTAGTTCAGCATCTAGGGAAATCTCTTCAACCCTTGGAGGAGTATGGGGTGAGTTAATGTTTCAGGGCAGTGAATTACAAATTCATGAAACTTAATTTAAAACATGAAGAAAAGGAAGAAACAGAATTTGACTTGCCCTACAGGCCCCTAGTATGTTAAAAACAGATGGGGGCAAATAAGAAAAATTAGTTTGACTTATATGAACTTTGAAAAGGTAGCTTTTATTGCAAGAGTTGATGACTTTTATGCATTAACCCTTCAATCCTAAGTTTTTAATTCTGTGAATATTCCAGCAACATCTTTATTGCTCAGTTTAAATCTTTTCTTTAAAAGCTTTTATTTATTGATTTGAAAGGTGGGGTTACAGAGAAAGAAAAAGAGAGAGAGAGAGCTCTCCCATCCACTGATTCATTCCCCAAATGTCCACAATGGCTTTAGCTGGACCAGGCCGAATCCAGGAGCTGAAACTCCTTTCAGGTCTCCCTTGTGGGAGTCAGGGGTCTAGCAGTTGGACCGTCTTCTGCTGTTGTCCCAGCTACTTTAACAGGGAATTGGATAGGAAGTAGAGTAGTTAGAACTCAAACCGTCACTCATATGGGATACCAGTGCCATCCCAGTGTTATAGGCTACACCACAGCACTGGTCCTGAAAGTTGTAATAAATGTTCTATATATGGGATGTAGGGACTTAATGGGTATATAGGCCCTGGAAATTTTCATGTGGTTGAAATTTAATGAATTATTTGTTTATATATCAGACTAAGATCACACAGAGAACTCATTACAGATTTGGTACAAACCTAGGATTTTGTTTGTGTTGTTGCTTTTTCAAAATGTTTTTAAGAGAGGCAGAGAGATGCCAGATAGACACAGGGGGAGATAGCGCCCATCTGCTGGCTCACTTCCCCAGGTGACTGAACTGGGCCAAAGCTGCAGCTGCCAGCACAGTGCAGGACTCTCTTGTGGGAGTCAGGAACCCAACCACTTGAGCCGTCGCTGTTGCCTTCCAGGTTCTGCACTAGCAGGAAGCTGGTATCAGGAGCCAAAGCTGGCGTGTGGAGCTCAGATGCCCCGAGGGCCTAACACCTGCTCCTCACCTGGGCCTTCTGTCTGGACTACAGCACACAGCTAACTCCTGTGCTGTGGAGCTTTACTGCTCAAAGGGTCCTCAGAGAACTTGAAAACCTGCGAGTATGATGCCACTTGTAGATTGTCCTTTCATTTCCCAATCTTCTTGGCAGAAGGGTGATTAATGCTGCTGTGTTTTTTTAATGATAAAGACATTTGTACTTGAATCCAGGTCCTGGACTGAACTTTCCATTTCAGTTGATGGCGTCCTTCTTGGCTGTGACAATGGGAGGCCCGAAAGGCAGCAGAAGGCAGTGACAGCTTGTCACTGGTCATTATTTCCTGGAAACCCATACTGAGCTGTCCACTGATATCCATATTACATTTCTACTTCACCCCACTTCCTAGTTCTGGGTTCCTGAAACTTTTCAACCAAACGCCCAACAGGAGATCCTGGGAGCTTTAGAGTAACCCACATTCTGGTAGTTTTCAAGTCTATTCTGCCAATGGAGATGGAGACACAAATTGAGTTAAGGCTCATTTTCTAGTCTTCATTCCTTCCCTATCTCCTCCACCCCCTCTCCTTTTCCCCCAGTCATTACTTTCCTCTGCATTTCTTTTGCTTCTATTTTGTACCAAACTTTAGGAAGGGGACTAGGGAAAGATCAAGATAAACACACCTGTCTGCTGTTTCCTAAATCAATTTGATGAAGTCCACTGAGGATGACAGTTTTCGTTAATAGAGTTATATGAATTAAATTTAGTTTAATCACTTGGCAGTTAATTAACTAAACTTAATTTAATTCATGTAATTTCATTAACAAAAGTGTTCTGCTCACTGACTGTAGTTTTCCAATCTATTATAATACAAATGGTTCCTCTTTAGGACTTGCCCTCATGTCATCCCTTCTCTGTCCCTAAATCCCATCATTGGCAGAGTCCTGAATTTCCTGGGGATTAAAAAGCAGCATTTCAGTAGAATGAGTAGATCTTCTGGGTGATTATAGATGACGTTATTGTACCATGTGTTTTCCTGTATTAAAAAAACACACACACATAGAAAAGGATCGTAAATGTTCTCATCATAAAATTTGTTATGTTTATTCCCAGTGGATATTAAACAATGCACACAAGTATCGGATATCACATAAAACCCCATAAACATGTACAATTTTTTAAATAAAGAAAAATTTGAAAAGATGTAGTTCACATGATCAAAACAAGTCCAAGATATGTGGAACACTTCTTCCTGAGCCTGTATCCTTGTATGAGAAGGTGGAGAGATTCTGTGGGATCCCTGACTTTCCCAAGGCCATAGATCTTTCCAGTGGGAACAATTGCTTTGATTTTCTATCCTGTATTGATTTCCTAGAAGGCTTCCATAGACTCAAAGCCTGTGGATTGTGTGGTCTTGGAAAGCTGATAGCAAGAGTGGAGTTTGCTGACCAGTGCAGCTGCTGAGGATGGCAGAACCATGCCTGGGATGCAAACACGGCCAGTGTTCTCTGAACAGCTTCTTGAAAACTGTAGGAGAAAGACATGAAAGACTGAGAACCAAGGCCACACTCATTTTTGATTAAAAAGAAAACAAGCAAGCAGGATTGGGTAGCCTTCTCCCAATTTTCCACTGAGATTTCTACTGAGGGAGAACACTTGGATTTCAAATTTTGCTCTTCCTCCGCCTTATTCTTCCCCTTTCTTCTCTTGTCTTTCTTTTCATTTTTCTCCTTAAATGAGAAATTCCATGCTGTAATTTAATAATACACTGTTTTCAAAAGACCTTTGGATTATAATTGGTGTCTAGGAGAGTTTCCACGAGTTTTTTGCATGACATAGTTGAAAGGCAGGTTGCCAGTTTAGAGGAGAGTTCGAATTTAATAAGTTAAACCCAACTCTGGCCAGCCAACCCCCACCAGATCTCTCGCTCCTTGACAATAAACACAAATTTCAGAAAGCTTTCTTTGTATAAAGAAATATTTAACTAGTTCAGTGTCACATCAGCATATGTAGTACTTATAAATTGCTCATTAAACATGAGTTCAAACAACAAAACACTATTTTTTATTGTGAGACAATGAGACATACAAAGAGTGTAAACACATGCACGTGCATATGAGAGAACAAGCAGGTGCTTTTCTTGCCAAGTGCCTGCAGCGGGGCTGGGCCAGGGTCAAAGTAGGAGCTGCGAAGTCAAGCCAAGGTCATGTGGGTGGCAGCAACCCAGTCTCTGGGTGCCTGTGGCTCACATGAGGGTGTCTCAGTTCAATTCCCTCTTCTGGCTTCTGCCTCCAGCTTCTTTGACCCTCCCGTGCTACTGATTCTCCCACTCTAAATTAGCTTTCCTCATGTTGTTGTGTGTTGGTTCATGGGCCAGGGCCTGGGGCAATTAAGAAATCCTGAGTTTTCCCAAGCACCTTTCCCTGAAGCTTCTGTTTCATCTTTTTCAAGCCTCCACAAACTGGAGGACTGCCCCCAGACTGCAGCAAGTGCTGTCACGGAGACTACGGCTTCCGCGGCTACCAAGGTCCCCCCGGACCCCCGGGTCCTCCTGGCATTCCAGGTAAGGATGGGCAAGTTGCACTGCTAGTCTGATAGTATAAATTGTGTAGTATCACTACAGTGTCACAGAACCCCAGACACCTTGGGCACTCTGGTATACCAGGTGCATAGGCTGGGAGGCTCTTCCGCAGTAGAAAGTCTACACTATCAGATTTTCATTGGGATCTATTCTTAGTGCTAGCGTTTCTGCCACAGTGTGCTTTGTGCTTTACATTGTCTCTGACTCACAAGGGACTTGGGAAGCAAGGACAGGACTGGACTTGTCATGTTCCCAGCGCCAATCACTGAGCTGCACACCCTTCTGTGGGATTCTAGGGCCAGCTAAGGTTCCTTCCCTCAGCCCCGGGGTCCCTCCAGGCTGAGCCATCTCTGAGTTGATTTTCATGCTTCCTCTGACCTGGAGCTCCATTACTGTCCTCCAGCATGTGCAGTGCTATGGCGTGACACCAAGGCCCTCTGAACCTGGAGTTCAGCCATATCTACCTGTGTGTGCTGACGCCCCCATGCTCTGGAGAGGTCTTGGAACTTGCTAGGACCCCAGGTCAGCTGAAGACACAGAACTCCAAGATTCCCTTGATCCCAGGTGATCCTAGGACTTCCAAACCTAGCTGGGGTGGTGTGGACAGCATTTCTTCTGTGGATCCAGCCAGGATCTACTTGATTTTCTTTGACCCAGGCCCACTGATGCTAATATTTATTAAATGTCTTTTGCTTTTGTAAATATTTTAGAATAGTCTTTCACATGAAACCAAATTTATAATTAGAAAGCTGTCTACTAAAGTATGATTCCTAGCTTGGAGTTTGTGTCACTGCTCAGCAAGGACAGCAGCTCGCAGGTGCAATGATGTGGAGCCAGGGGTTTCTATGCTCCTGAAATATTTTCATCTGTAAACTTGTTTTTGTTCAAAGTGGACAGGCTGGCCTTGCTTAAATGTTTCCTAACAAGAAGTGGCTTTGCCAAAGAACACAATAATCTATAAACAAATGCCAGAGTTTGGAAGCTTGGTTTGATACCTGATCAAAGGTAGAATGAAAAGAAATAGTAGGAGGCCCAGAAAAACAAAGGAAAGTATAGAAGTGATTTATTAAAGTAGAATGAAGACTTGAAATTTTTATCCATATCTGTTTTCAAAATTATTGTTGGATTTTGTAATCAAGGAAGTATGCCATCCCCCAGTTACAAAAATGATTCAAATCCTTTGAATAAAATTTGAAAGATAGTGCTGGCATTGTGGCACTGTGCACTGAGCATTCGCCTGCATTGCCAACACCACAAATGGATATCAATTAGAGTCCCAACTGCTGCATAGCAGATCCAGCTTCTGGATCTGCACCTAGGAAGGTAGCAGAAGATGGCTCAAGTGCTTGGGCCTCTGCTGCCCACATGGGAGGCTGGAGGAAGCTTCTGGTTCGTGGCTTCAGCCTGGCCCAGCTCTAGGCATAGGGGTCATTTGGTGAGTGAACGAGTGCATGGAAGATCTCTGGTTCTCCCTCTCTTTCTGTAACTTTGCCTTTCAAATCAGTAAGTAAATAAGAAAATAAATCTTTTAAAAAATACTTCAAAGAATACAATAGAATATAGAATTGTACAAAAATGGCATTTTATCCATTTAGGAAAGCAGCACTATAGATATTTGTATGTAATTTATTTTCATTTTATTTTCCCCTGTGAATACACACACACACTATTTTCCCAAAACTAACATTATACTTTCTTTTTTCATAACATTCTAATCTGAAAACATGCTGGAAGTCATTGTATATAGCTAAATATTTTCACTTAAAAATGTGTTTCTTTTAAACAGAAAAAGAGAGATTTTCCATCTGCAGGGTTGACCCTTAAACGGCCTCAACAGTAGGGCTGGGTGAGAAGCCAGGAGCCTGGAGCTCCGTCCGATTCTTCCCTAGGGCTGGCTGAAGCTTGAGTGCTGCGTCATCATTCAATGCTTTCCTGGCACTTTTGCAAGGAGCCGGGTCAGACATTGAAAGCAGCACTCCGATGTGGGATTCGGGTCTCCATTTAACATTTCACATCTTTTCATCTGAGGCTTTTTTTTAAAAAAAAAATAGAAAAACATGGGCTTGGAAACCGTGACGTACCTAAGGCTATGTTTTGAATCCAAAGCTCCTTTTAAGAGTGGGACAATGTGAAGACACCCTTGGCTGCACTTGACGTTGTTTCATGTGGTCCCCTATTCCTATGGAGTTTGGGTATTTCTGAACTGGGGGTTATATTCGTCTAAAGGTAAGTGGCAAGCTTGAGTGACTGGAGTTTCCTCCCCTGACACTGTCTGCTTGTTTTAGGAAACCATGGGAACAATGGCAACAACGGAGCCACTGGCCACGAGGGGGCCAAAGGTGAAAAGGGAGACAAAGGTGACCTTGGGCCTCGAGGGGAGCGCGGGCAGCATGGCCCCAAAGGAGAAAAGGGCTACCCTGGCATTCCACCAGAACTGCAGGTAAACTGGGCACACCTGCAAGCCGCCTTGATGCTGCGTCCCCTGCATGCCGCCCCCACCCCCTCCACCCGTGGCAGCTGAACGTTTGGCCTCTGGCTTAATTCTTCCTGAACCTTCAGTCAGTCCAACTCATCCACCCTGCAGGGTGAAAGGCTAATGCAATCCAAACAAGGAGTTTTCAGCTCCTTCTCAGGAAGGCAAACCAACCCTGTCAGCTAATCCATTTTCCAGGTGAGAAGATGTGCTAGAGAAAGAAGGTTTGCCAACCTAACTGTGTAAATATTTATGTATATATAAGTAGATATATAAAGAATACATAAAACAGAACATAATATTTTAGTCATTCATTTTATCACATTTATATATTTCAGTCACATACATGGAGATTATTCATATAGTTTTCTCAGGTTTTTGGACGTATGTACAGTTTTTATGTGCCTTTTTTAATTTGAATTATCCACTTATAGTTTTCTAAAACAGGAGATATTTGTTTTAGTGTAAAGTTTCCAAACCCATTTATAAGGTTACAATTCTGCATTTTATCCTGAGTTCAGCCATATTTTTTATGTTTATTATTATCTTAAATTATCCCCCAAAGTATCTACTTACCTATCTACTTATCTATCTATTCAAAAGATAGTGTGATAGGGAGAGACAGAGATTGTCCATCCACTAGTTCACTACCCAAATGACTGCAACAACCAGGGGGGCTGCACCAGGCCAAAGTCAGGAGCCAGGAATCCCATCACGGTCTTCCACGTGGGTGGCAGGGGTGCAAGTATGTCTGCCATTCTCTGCACAAGAGCAGGGAGCTGGTCAGAAACGGAGTAGCTGGGACTTGAGCTGCAGTCCTGCGCAAACAGCAGGTTAACTCCGCTGTTCCCAAACACCGACCTTTAGAGGATCTGGATCTTTAAGATTTGTATTGCCAACATCTAAAACTTGTAATTATCAGGGCAAATTGCCAAGCAAAATTGCTAGCTATGGGTTATTTTTTTTCTTGGGTGGGGGAACCAATATGTCTTTCTTTTTTCAATATAAGTTTATTTCATTTTTGATGATATTTACATAGGATGCATGCCTATGTGAACCACCGATTAGGGTAGAGTGGGTTGAAGAATGGGGGAAAGTGGATAAGACAACTGTTTCCAATCTCCTTTTTTCTTCCTGTATCTGGGGAAGGCGGGGAGGAAGGGGAGAGGGCTGCTCCCAGCAGCCCAACCACATCAATACCCAAGGATGGGGGAATGGCCACCTGATGTCATACCAGGGTCCCCAATGTGGAACTTGTTCAAAGGGTACTGCTTACTTGGTTTTGATAGCTCTGAGATGGCATTGATTTCGTTGTTCCAAAGTTGAGGAAGTCCTTCCAAGGTCCATTGGCTGACATAATCCACCTTAAGTGTCTCCATTCACTCAGATACTCAATGTCAAAGTTTGGCAGGGAAAGCTTTCAATTTGTTCTGCTCTCCATGATACTAGACGTCCTCTGCAGGCGTCAATGAACTTGTTGTCTTGTTTCCCATGTGCATCTGGGCATGCTGTCTGCTGCACAGGCTTGAACAACTGAGGAGTCCCAGTTCTGACACATGTACTTCATGATCAGACCACAGACCCTGTGATTGGAGTTCTGAATCCAGTGATCCACTTTGTGTGTTGAGGGGGGATTCCCCAGAGACACCTCACTAGATGTGACCCCAGGCCTGACCCCTGTGTGTGCCAGACAATGCAGGGTCCAGCTCAGTCCATCGCCCACATCACCCTATACACACATATTGGTGGTTGTGGTTGCCCAGTCAGTTCTGTTCCCAGCCCCATTTTTATGCAAACCAATGGATGCTGCAGCCAAGTTCAAGCCTGCCCACCACACACTTGGCCCTCACAGCAGGAATTGCAGCCTAGTGGGGGCTATCCCCCAAAGTCCCTACCAGGTCTGCCCCCAACCCCAGCTCTTGTGCATACCGATGTATGCAGCAGACTGGTCCAGACAATCTCATATCCCATTTGGCTCTCGAAAACATCAATAGGTGTTGGAGCCTAGCTCAGCCTGACCAGTCCCACTATCCAGCCCACATTCATGCTGGCAGATGCCACTGCCTGTTCAGCCAGGCCCTCCCCCAGCTCTGGTTCTCATGTTCACCAGTGGGAGCTGCAACCCATCAGAGGGATGCTCACAGTTTCCCTGCTAGGCCTATTCTTAGCCCCAGATCATGAACTTTCCAAGCAGTTCTGTGGTCTAGCCTGACAGGACTTGCCCCCAGTCCTAGCATCTGCTAGCCAATGCTGTGGTAAAACCCAACCAGCCAGCACTTACTCTGACTCATGCATGCACCAGTGGATATGGTCGCTTAGCCCAATCTGACTCTCCTCCTCCCAAACAGGCTACTGGATTTTTTAGCCCTGCCCAATCTGGTCTGACCCCAGTACCAGCTCTCACACTTACCAGAGGAAGCAGTGGCTCAGCAAGGGAGTTCTCATAGCCCCTCTACCTGGCTTGCCACTACTCCTCCTGGGTCTTACATGTACTGGTGGATGCCACATCCCATTTTGGTATGTCTCACTTTATCTCCGCATTCACCAGCAGGTGCTGCAGCCTGGCTTAGCCTGTTCTGCCCCCAGTTCCAGTTCATGCTGGTGGGTCCTGCAGCCTAGCCCAGCCTGGAATGTCCCAGTTCCAGCTCTGATGTGAACTGGCTGGTGGTGCAGCCCACTTGACCTGTCCTGCACCCTGTCCTTATTCTCACATCTGCAAGTGAGTGCTATAAACTGGTCCAGCCTGATCAACCCGTAGACCTTATCCACATGTATGCTGGAGGGTTCTATAACCTGGCTGGTCTGGGCTGCTCCCACCTTTGGTTCTAGTGCTCACCTACAGGAACTGTATTCTGACAGAGGAGTTCTCCAAGCTCCTCTATTAAATCACCTCCCAGAGGCAGATCTCATGCACGTGGGTGGATACTTGACCTAGCCTGACTTGGCCCATCTCCTATCCTGGCAGATACAGTGGCCTTACTTGACCAACCCACACCCATTCTGGCTCTTACCATTGGGTGCTACAGTCCAACACGGTCTGGCTCATCCCCAGACCCAGCTGTTACATGGATCAGTGGGTGTCAAGACCTAGCTCAGCCAGCCCTACCCCCATTTAGGCTCTTGTGAGCACCAGTGAGTACTGGAGCCTAGCCCAGTCTGGCATACCCCAGACCCAGTCCTAGTCCTCCAGTGGTGTGTTGTGCCCACCTGGGGTCCTGTCCACCTGCCCAGGGCTCATGCATGCTCAAGCTTGCACCCCCGACCATATCTGCTGGCATGCCTCCCCCACTTTCTATATCTTTAAAAAAGATCAAATAGGCAACATGCTGGCACACTGGTATAGTTAACACAGATTTGGCATTAACCAGATACAGAATGCATGCTAAGTGTTAACTGCTTTGCTCCCAGCAGTGTAACACTTGCCTCGGTACAGTGCTACCTAGGCAATTGACTACAGCTGGGGGGAAGCCAACATTTTAATATTAATTCTTCCAAGGGACTTCTATCAATATTGAAAGCCTAGTGTTTTAAAGATTAAAATTTTGTAGTTAAAATAAAGTAACTGAAAGAAATGCCTACAAATGTGAGACACTTTTAAATAATTTAAATATAAAGCAACTTTTATATTTAAGAGATCAAGTAGGAGAGATTTTTGCGTATTATATGATAGCTGTTTGACCTTGGGTAAGTTTTATCTTTCTTCTAGGCCTCATTTTTTTTTCACAAGTGTGAAATAAAAGGTCCTAGGTGCTTCTTTAAACTGCTTTTAGCACTTTTTATAACTTTTGATTGAATGCTGTTTAATCATTTCAGCAACATGGGATCCACGTGCCAGCATAAAATGACAAGGATCTGGAAGAGAGATGCCACTCAGTCAGATGAAGGTCTAATAAGATGGACATTGGATATGTCAGACACAGTAACCCTGTTGGTGCTTGTACCGTGCTGAAAGGCTGCTGCACAGCGGACGTCTGTGCAACCGTGACATTGCCCTTACCCTAAACCATGGCACAATCCCTCGGGAGGACTCCTGTCACATGGTGTTGCAAAAGAAGGAAATCTAGTCTCATGCAGTTTGTGAAGGGGAGACCCTCACATTCTCTGCAGAAAGAATCCCATAGTGTTAGACTTTATTCATCTGATTCACGTAAGGCTGCAGTGGCTCCTGCGGAGAGAGGATTGGCATTGGCTTTCACAGATATCTTTTCTCCGAGGGTGGTTGCCAGCAAAGGCATTCATCAGCATTTTCTAAAGGTTCTTCTAATTATCAGCAGTTTTTATTTAGTAGTATTTCCAACAGGAGTTAAGTTGGTGCACAAAGTGAAGTTATAGCAGTGCCTCACTCTCTGCTTAGCACTGCAGACATTTGAAATCATATGGAATAACATGTTGAATGAGCCACTTAGAACTAATACTGCTGGGACCCAATCTCCTGTCTCGGAATCTAACCAGATGATTTGTTCCCAGACTCCTAGGGCCCTTTGGCTACTATCAGGAATAGACTTCTTAAATTCTCTTTACTGATCTTTTAGTGATTGACCAGAGGCTTTTGGAGTTTCATAAAATATTTGTAACCAGTCCCAGAAATAGCTTCTGTCACCCACTCGCTTCTCTCATTCCCTTAGTCTAAATTAATGCTCCAATAAGACATTTTTAAGCCAAAATCATACCCAAAAACTTTTATTTTTTCAATATCCAAATAGATTATTAGCTTTATTAAACCATTTTTGACATTTTAAATAGCTCAAAGCATTCCCTTTCATCTCTTAAAAATTATTCATACCTTTCCCCTGTAAAATAACTTAGAAAAGAGCTGTTCCAAAAAAATAATGTCCAGAGACGATTACTTTCAAAATACAGTTACCCATCTTTACAGATGTGTGCGCATTTAAACACATATATGATTTTAAAATGTTAGGGAGATGTAGTAATATGATTAGCTTATTTCATTAATGATAAGATGTTTTAAACAAACATCAACCAATATATCTTTTTAAAAAAACTATTTATTTATCTTGAAAGTCATAGTTACAGAGAGAGGGGAAAAACAGAGAAATCTTCCATGTGCTAGTTTATTCCATGGATGTCTTCAGGGGTCAGTGCTGGGCCGGGACAAGGTCAGGAGCCAGGAGTTGATCCAGATCTCCCAGGTGGGTGTAAGGCTCTCACACACTTGGGCCATCCTCTGCTGCTTTTGCAGGTCATTATCAGGCAGCTAGATCACAAATGGAACCTCCAGGCTATAAACTGGCAACTGTAAGGGAGGCCAGCATTGCCAACAGTGGTTTTACAGCTTCAATGCTATCCCCAAGTTCTATATCTTTAAAGTGGATCTATCTTTTATCCAAATACACACGGATTATGTGCTCATTTGAAAAAAAAAAAAGTAAGTTCAATGAAAAAAATAAAACTTTCCCATGAAAAGTTTACTGAGAGCTATTATTAATAATTTTGTGAATATTCTTACAAATATTTCTCTCAGCTTGAAGAATTTCACTCACATAAATACATTCCAAAAAGTCTGCTATCAGGTCATAATGATCTGTGTTATTTGATATTTTTAATTTAAGATGTACTAAATACATTTTCCATTACATATGTGTGTATGTACATTTGGATCAATATCAAGGATTTTCAAAGTGTGTTTCAATAATCTATTCAAAAGGAAATTAACAAATTATTGGGGAAGAATAATGAAGGGTTAACAAAATTAAAAAACTATTGTAGGGTTTCTTCAATCCTTTAATATACTAATATGAATTTGATAGCTGCAAATGAAGAATTTTAATGTCCAAAAGTTCGTTGAAGACTCATGTCTTCTAAAACATATTCAGAACTGTGGGTGTATGTGATCATTCTAATAGGTTGGATCTTATAAACATGTTAGAAATTGCTGTAATTTACTTACTTATGTGTCTACCAATGGATATTTCTTTCCAACATTCCTTTGATAGATAATTCTGTAATAAACCCATTTATGTAAGGAAGTTATTTAAGATAAAATTCCTATTCATTGACCAAAACAATCTTTTCTTAGATTGCGTTTATGGCGTCTCTGGCAACTCACTTCAGCAATCAGAACAGCGGGATCATCTTCAGCAGCGTGGAGACCAACATCGGAAACTTCTTTGATGTCATGACTGGTCGATTTGGGGCCCCGGTATCAGGTGAGCTGCAATCATGCTAGACATGGCAAAAAGAAACAGAGGGAAGAGAGAGAAGAAAGCCTGAAGGAGGCAGGGAAGACGACAGGGTCGAAACACTTTCTGATAAACAGCTCATATGGATTTCTGCTGGATCTGAAAGTAAATGAATAGGATCTGAAAAGACAAGTACCATTTCAAAAATATGGCCATGATTATTAAGATCAGTAACTCAGCAACCAAACCAGATAAGGGCACAGTGCTCTGTTCTTGGAGAAAAATTCTCACACCTTTGAGGTGTTGTAACCATGTCCTACCATTGTTCTCACACCAAGAAGGGCAGGATCCAGTTCTTTTGTTTTGTTTTGAAGAATGTTATCTATTTGAGAAAAAGAGAGGGAAAGTGAATGAGCGTCCACGCACTGGCTGATTCACTGCCTTGAATGCTTGCAAGGGGTGGGCCAGTCAAAGCCAGAAGGCAGGAATGCACCCCAGGTCTTGCACCGGCATGTCGGGAACCCAATCCCTTGAGCTCCCCGCTGCCAAACATCTGCATTAGCTGGGAAACCAGGAGCCACAGCCCCAGATCCAGCGTAGACACTCTGCTCTGGGATGCCAGAGTCTTAACCAACACTACCAGGCTCAATGCTCACTCCTAAGCCTTTCAATTAAAAAACAAAACAAAAACTAAGCAACATATTTATGTAGTTTAAAACAGTTTATACAAATGGGCTTTCTTTCCTTTTTATATAAAACCTAGGCCACTTTGAATTTTGATTGTAACTTGCTTTTTTTCTTTTTTTTTTTTTTAAGCTGACAATATATTTTGGAACTTTTTTCACATTGTTTCATCTTTCTATCTTATGGTGGGATGTTCCAGAGCATATTTTCTTATTCCCTTATTGCTGGACATTTGCAATATTTTCAGGGTTTGTTGTTTATTAAAAAGCAAGACTGCAATGATTGAGTCTGAGTATACCATGTTGAAGGGAACATGTCAAGGTATGCCTGTTGGCTGAAATAATAGCAGTAACATTGCTAGGTGAAGAGATGAATTTATCAATAAGATTGATTGGTTTTGCCAAATTGCTCTGTGAGGCTGTGCCGGTGTAGTTCTGCTGTCAGGATATGAAAGTGCTTATTGCCGGAAAGCCTCATCAATAAATTATGCTTTCGAATGATGTCTAGACTTAGGCAAAAAATGCTATTTAAGAAGCAAAAACTTTTTACTTTGATATAATTTTGGAAGAAGTACAAAAATATTATAAGTCATTGTATCCCCTTTAGCCAATGTATTGTTAGCATTTTATACACGTGCATTTTAAAGTCTAAAATGAATAAACCTATACCCAGTAATATGACAGAATATGGATTCATTTCAGATTGCCGCAAATTTTAATTTCTTTTCTAATGTGTTCTTTTCGACCTGAGACTCTTGTATTGGTTCTTTCCTAGAGGGGTGTACGTCACTAGTACATTTTAAACTCCTTATGATATTTGTCTACATTTTTCATATACTGCATGATAACATTTCATCTTGGTGACTTACTGATTGGGATAATTTTTGTTGGGTGCTGTCTGTTTTTTAAAATGAACTGAGACTGTGTGGGTTGGATTTGCTTAGACCACCATAGGTGTGGCTTTAGGCAAACTTCCCAGGTTTGGAACTAACTCAGTGGCCAGAGGTTGGACTGGTTCTTTTCAGCATGGCCTCTGTGTGTGTTTTCCTGGTGGGATCTCATTTTCTCTGCCTCCCCAGATTGCGCTGGATTCAGGAGGACTTCTGAGACCAGTCTTAGACTTGCCAGCTCCTCTGCTTTCAGGGAGCTTGTTTTTGCTGGAAGCTTCTGAGAGCTGCACTGGTTTCCACATTCTGTGCTTTATCTGTTAAACTTTCCCTCACTCACAGCCTAGTCTTCACCTAAGTTAAGCTCTCAGGAGCTCCTTTTCAGCAGCTACACTTCAAAGCAAGTGTTCCCTGGTGGGGGTTAAAAGTTTCCTGGCACAGTTTGAGATCTGCTCAGAAACCGTTCCCAGTCCCAGGACTCCCTGTGTGTGATTGTAGCACTTACAGGATTCCAGATGTCTAAGTTCGAAATGCTAAGCCTGTGTTCAATAAATGGCATTAGAGATTTACTACTTTATTATAAAGTATGGTTTGGGCTAGATGATCTCACTCAACTGCAGTTTAATGCAAAAACTTAGCTAACATTGTTAAGTTAGGTATATTAAATGTATGTTCCACTTGCTGATTTTCGGTTTACAATGGGTTAAGCTTTTCCGGGTGTGATCCCATTGTAAGTCAGGGGGCATTGGTGTTTGAAGCTTTATTGAGATTTTGGTAGAAAATAGATTCTGGTTTTTTTTCCCTTTCAATTTCTCCTATGTCTGTACACAACACCCAAATGGAAAACAAAGAAAATGATGGATACAGGGATATCTTACATTTGTGACAAGTGCTATTAATGTCTGCCTTGATTCACTGATCTACTCATTTGAAGTAAGCCAAATGAACTGATATATGAGGTAGTTTGAAGGAATCTTCCATCACCCTTCAGTCGGCTTTAATGTGTTCATATGATTGTCATATTTTTACTCTGAAAGTTTATGTTACGATTTCCCAGTGGTTGTTTTCTTAAACATGATCTGTACCACTAACTGTAGACTTGCCTGGTTCTGCCTGGTCAGTCATTTCCTTGTTTCCACTGATTTCAGTTTTCTTTGTTTCCACCGACTTAGTTGAAAATCAAGACTTAGTTTCTCAACCTCTCTTGGGTGGGATATCATTCTGATGACCATCACGCTCATGTTAGCACCACAGTTTACTATTTGAACTCATCCAGTAGATTGCAAAATGACCATCTTATACATTTCAGCTTGGATGAGATAGAAGAGGTTGATTTCTATAATGACAGCTCCACAAAGACCTGAAAACCGCAGTGTGAGTGTGATGTCTGGCTACAATGCCAGCACCTGGGCAGAAAGCCAGTACTGGCTATCATATGTATTCACTTCTGTGGTTCTCATTCTAGACATTTCAACATCTGGTTTCTTAATCTACACTTTTGAAACTCTTTTGTAATCTATTTTTTTAATAGTGCTCATCATTTTTGAGGAAAATTAATATTATTTCCTGTCATTTTAATTTCAACATTATCTGAGCCACTGAAAATTGTGTGTGAGTATGGTTTAATATGAAGACTTATAAAATGTGGAAAACCCGGACATACATATACCATTCTTTTTAAATCCTTTAATTGACCTACTTTGATTTTTCATCTATGGGTCAATCTCTAGGCATGTAAGTAGATGTGATTGATTTATGTGCAATTTGCTTTGTTGTTGGCGCACTGAAATTGTAACTTTAATTTGGTTTGACATGACTCAGAAACAGATGAGTCAACATGGCATCTTCTCAGTCTCCATAGTAATTGCACTTATGGAAAAGAAATAGGATTGGTCAGTCAGTTTTCTTTTTTTAAAAATTTTTTTTAAAGATTTATTTTTATTATTTTTTTATTGGAAAGGCAGATATACAGAGAGAAGAGACAGAGAGGAAGATCTTCTGTCCGATGATTCACTCCCCAAGTAACTGCAACAGCCGATGCTATGCCAGTCTGAAGCCAGGAGCCTCTTCTGGGTCTCCCACGCGGGTGCAGGGTCCCAAAGCTTTGGGCCGTCCTCGACTGCTTTCCTGGGCCACAGGCAGGGAGCTGGAAGGGAAGCGGGGCTGGCAGGATTAGAACCGGCGCCCATATGGGATCCCGGGCGTGCAAGGCGAGGACCTTAACCACTGCGCCACCGTGCTGGGTCCTAGTTTTTTTTTTTTTTTCTTGATGTTAGTTTACCTATTTTTTTCTCGCAGGCATTTTAGTTAAAAATTTCACATGGAAATCAATATGAGCTTGATGACTTTAATTATTTCTCCTTTCCAAAATATACTCTCAAATCCAAGAATATATGGAATTGGGAACATTTTTCCTTCTAGCATTTCTTTATAAATTCAATAAAAGAACTTTCCTACTGGCATTTGGAGTATGTCAGGTCATATTAAATTGTTTCCCACGAGTTGCCCTCAGGTCTAGTTAGAAAATTCACACCTTTCAAAATATATTGGTCTTTTTTAAATCAGGAGAATACAGACTTTTATAACAAGATCACGTGGCAGTCACAGTTTGATATCTCTGCTTATTATATGTAATTTCACTCTTGAACAATGAATGTGAGAAATTATTAGAACCGTCCCTTTGAAATGATTAAACCTTTATTCTGTGTTACCATATTTCCTTAGTTTGGGCCCACACCTGTGGTGATTCTAGGCATCGGTTGTAATGCAACATTGGGCCATTTGTCAGGTCATGGAGTACATCGTGTGTTTATTCTCTGAGCTGTCTGTACCTGTGACAGCTGCTGCTGTTAACCAATACCTATTAAGAACCCTTTGTTGGTGGACAAGGTAGTGAAATGTAGTTCGTAAAGGACTTTGTCTTCTTGACAGGGATACATAACACACACAATAAGAAAACCTCAAACGTCATAAAGAATGTTCAAGGGGCAATGTGCAATAAAATACAGATATAGAGATACTCAGATATACAGAGGCCAAACATGCCACATAGACTATCCACGAAAGAAATGTGAAATCATTTGGCACATCTTCCTGCTATCTTCAGCTTCTCTATATAATATGTTCATCTAACACTGGATAAATACCTGCTTTTTTCCAGGAGTGTATTTCTTCACCTTCAGCATGATGAAACATGAGGACGTTGAGGAAGTGTATGTGTACCTTATGCACAATGGCAACACAGTCTTCAGCATGTATAGGTGAGTGGTCTAGCCTGGCCAGGGGCTCCAGAGTGTGACCATTGTTTGCTCGAAGGGCATTCCAGCAGCAGAGCCCTTCCCCAACTCTTGTCCTCAATGAGAGCATCCACACAGCAACGTACGGCCAGGTTATCGCCCATGCTTGGGAAGAAATAAATTTGATGAATTTGAACATCAGCAGGTTTATAATAGATCTTGAGTCATCCACTAGCACCTCTCTTCTCCCCTTGCCCAGGTATTAGGATTTGCTTTGTATACTTAACTTTTCTCTCTGCCATTTCCTCTGCTTTCCTAATCTTCTTCTCCAGTACCCTGAACTTAGTCCTTTTGGACTTTGTCCACTGTTGTCCTGGGCTGGCAGGTTCTGAGATTTGGGAATAGGATTTCTCTTTTCAGGCTGTGTTGCTCCTGTGATATTTTCCCTAGCCACCTGGCCTGGATCTTTGGGAAATAACGGAAATAACACACTTTGCTCTGGGATTACCGTGGAATGTGTCAGAGTGGCAGTGAGTCAGTGCTTCCCCTTTACTTACTGGGATATGAGTCTCCCGATCCCACCCAACTAACCCAAGGGCAGCAAGGAAACAGACTGCACCTGCCATGGGGGAGGGCAGCGTAGATTTGAGGGAACAGCTGGCTCTCTCTCTGCATCTCTGATTCTTCTTCCCACACTTAGAATGCACATCTCCTTGTCTGTCTTTGTTCCTGTGGGAGATAGCCTAAACTACCAATTATGTGTCAAGTTTGAAGCTCAGGATTGGACCATACAAAATTCTTCAAGTTGATTGCTTATCTGTTGGCCACCTGATTCTGTCTTCTAGGAGAATCTTTATTTTTTTCTGTGGACACATCTACAAGGTGCGTAGGTTTTCTCGGGGCTGTTTCGCAGTCTATTTGCTGCTGGTGAACATTTGAGGGCTAGCATTGCAAGTCTTTTTAAATCCAGGTTTGTGTCTTCAGGGCTTCCATTTCCTGAGCTGTTCGTTACCAGTTACCTCTTTTAGTATACCCCACCTGATGCTTGTCTTGACCTATAGTTTGTCTGTTATCCTTCATGACCCCGTATTCTCACGCCTGTCTCTCAGTTTCATGGTACTTACTACCATGCCTTCTAAAACAACAGATTTGAGCAGAAAGGAGACATTTTTAACCATTCAGGTTGTGACACAGCTCTGTTGCATTGAATAAGCCATAATGGGAAAACAATAAACTTTGCTCTTGCAGATATAAAACTCAAATGACCTGTCAACCACATTCATCCTCAACTCTCCAGGTTCTATTTACTTATTCTGTTTCTAACATGTCAGTTCTTGTCTGAGCTTATCTTTTGTATAAATATTTTTCTAAAGGCGGCAGATGGTTTTTTTTTTTTCTAATCACTTTTATCAAGTCTTTCGTCTGAGTTGGCCACGATATGCAAAAAGTTTGCAACTCAGTATCTGTTTTTCCATTGCTGCCTGCATGACCTTGAACTAATGCAACATTTCATTTGAGTTATGGCAACACTCTCTTTTAGTGCCAAATTCTAGACTAATTATTGAGGAGCCTAAACTGTTGCAACAAAGACCTAATGTAATGACTCAAACCTAATAGAACTTTCCTTCCCATCAAACAGTCCAGAGTGTGAGCAGTTCGGGGGAAATATTCCAGGTTGGGTCACGGTCAGAGCTTCTCCACACAGCTTTCAAGGATCCAGGCTCCAACATACAATCTCCAAGGTCATCTGAGTCACTTCTCACCTGTATCCCATGCCCATACCTAGAAGCACGAGAGAAGGAGATGACAGGTGCTGGTGAGAAATTTTCTGTTCACTATAAAGACTAACCAGTGTGTGCCTCTTTTTCTTTCTAGCTATGAGACAAAGGGGAAATCAGATACATCGAGCAACCATGCGGTGCTGAAGCTGGCCAAAGGGGATGAGGTTTGGCTGAGAATGGGCAATGGCGCGCTCCATGGTGACCACCAGCGCTTCTCCACCTTTGCTGGCTTCTTGCTCTTTGAAACGAAGTAAATACATGAATAAACTAGCTCCACTTTGGAGAACACTTGTAGGTGAGCTGGGATTATTATATGAGGAACAATAAAGTTGAGGATTCTAAAAATCTGTTTTTTAAAAATTATTGGTTATAATGCTAAACATGCTACAGGCGTACCAATAATGTTAAAGACTCGGGCACAGAGTATGAACCAAAAGATTTTTCAGAGAGATGACCTGAGCTAATATACTACGCCTTTATTACTCTTCCCTGGTACCTAAAAGGGAGTTCTCTCCTCTGATGCAGACTAGAAATTTTTATTCCCATCAGGAAAAGTCATTTGAAAAAACAAAGTTTTAGTTGCTCTGTTTTTAAGTTGGTGCCAACTTTCAGGAGCCTCTGAAGTTCTTAGTAGTATTTCTGAGAATATGATTCAGTGGTCATGATGGAGTTGGGCTAAGAAAAGAGGTACTTGTCGGGATCTGAGTGGCAGAAACCTCTTAAAGTCCAAACTGGGAAGAAACAGTGATCCACTGGGTAGGGTTAGTATTCCGCAAATCTGGGTGTTGTCTAGTAACTCCATGTGGCTTTTAGATGACAGAAGTATTGATGAGGTCAACAAAGAACTGACACCTCTTTTAAAAATGTGTTTCTGTTATTGCGTCTTGACTTCTAATGGCTTGTGCTTTTAGCAATAGAATTTTCTCATGATCCAGACTTTGGATTGTCAGTCTGGTTGGTCATATTGTGTTTCTGCAGCTGCAAGGGCTCTTTGATGACTCTGGTCAAAAGGACCAGTTGTCTCTTGAGTATACCATTGTCTGTCTTCATTCACAAAATACTCAAAATACTCCAGTATATTATCTTCTACACACACTATGTCACGTTGAAAGTGCCACAGATTCAATTCTATGTGATCCAAATAATATCTACAAATTTAAAGATATTCCATTAAAAAGACATGTGCAAAACCTTTTGGTCAATAAAAATAAATATGATTTCCTGTATTAGCCTGTATTACTCTGTATAACCAATATTCACAGAGCAACTTTATATGTACCAGGTATTGCAAGGATGTGCAATACCTGGTATTGCCTCTCTTTCCCTACCCTAAAGTCTATTCTTGGAGGAACAAACTTACGACCAGAACAACCTTCATAAGACTATGCCATGAGTTCTTTAGAAAGTATCCAAAGGTGGTACCCCTAATTAATTAATTTATTTTAGACAAAAGCAATATCATGGGCATATATATTTACTCTGGTGGCAAACCATATTTAAAATGAACTGAAGAGAGGCTGGTCTGAAAAAACGCATGCAATGAATTCTCTTGGAAATAAAGAGTCCTTCAGGGATGGGGGTTGGGAGAAAAGGAGGAAGCCCTATGGCCACAAAATTGTAAAACAGAAAATAAGAATACTAATACAAAATGACCCAGTTTAAAAAATAAAGAGCCCTTCTGTTATTTTAAACTACAGATTTCTTACTGTTACCTCTGAGGCAGACAAAACTAACGAGGACCTGTGTTAACTAACACAGTAACTAACATGAGGCACCCCTCATGTTCAGTTTACTTTGGATCTTTTCCTTGATTCAGAAGCATTTTTAAATTTCTGAATCTACATGTAATGCTATTTTAAACTGAATGGATATTAGTTATACCTGGCTTGATCAGAAAATACTTTGTGATTTTGCATGTTTTTCTTTCTTAGGCTTTGGTGTCAGGTTGAGGCTTACTGTGAACAAATATCACAGATGTTCATAGACATGTACTGCCATTAGATAACTGAATGTTCCATGTTGTCGGAAAGGATGGGTCATAGCTGAGCAGCATATGTTGCTTAGTGCCTGAAAGGAGGATTTTGGAATGGCTTTATATAAAACTGTAACAAGAAAAATGTACCAAGTAATATGTTCCATGCTCCTGGCCTGTTGCCCTACACTCCAGTGTGAGACTGACCAGCTTCCTGCCACTGAACTGCTTGTCTTCAGTTAACACTTGGTTTACTTAGTAATGGTCCCCAATTTTAAGTTTGGGGAGAACTTACACTTGTGGAGTAAGTTGGCAGTTTGGATATACTACCAAGAAACCATACTTAAGTGAAAAGGCGAAAGGTCTCAACAAGCTCCTAGCTGACTTCAGATCGCCTGAGCTCTGGCTGCTGTGGCTGCTTGGGGAGTGAATCAGCAGAAGGAAGATCTTCCTCACTGTTCTCTTTGTATATCTGCCTTTCCAATAAGAAAAAAAACAATAAAATCTTTTTTTAAAAAAAAGCAGATGGTATGTGTTATGAGAAATTCAAATGCTTCATCTGATTTATTAGATGAAGTCATTATTTTCTGAGTAAACAAGGAGATTTTAAGTCATACGGGGTGGTTCTGTGCAGCAAGTCATTTCCCAGAGCAGAAAAGTGAAGGGAAGATTTCTTAAGGATTATTATCAGAAGCATAGGGCTAAGGTTTGGTTCAACAACACCAATGTATTTCCTGAACTGCCATGCCAAGAACATGTACTCCTTCTAGCTATATTTGAGAATGCCAGAAAACTGGGTATGAAGATAAAAGACCAAATGTGCCAAGCAGGAAGCAACAATCTTACATACGGCATACTGGCTGGGAGGCCGTGGGCTATCTTGTAGGTGAGAGCGTAGTGTGCTGCTTGCCAGGAGCAACTGGTCAAGTCAGGGTAAGGCTAAATGGTCAGATGCGGGGACCGCGGAAATGCCACATGTTTCCAGTGCCAAGGTGAGGCATGTAGTTGAGTTCGCAGCTAAGGAATCCCCGCTAATCTGTCATTAATAATTTGAAGTAACTGGAACTTTCAGGCAAATTAGTCTATTGAAAAGTGAGGTTTCTGGGTTCATATTTTCCTTCCTTTTGAGACAAATACTGGTTAGTTAAAGCTGACTTATATTCCCCATTTCTTTAGATATTTATAGGATCAGTGCAAGGTAAAGATTGAGTTTTTGACTAGTGGTATTAACCCAGTGTAACACACACGCAAGCATTGTGCACTTACACAGCATCTGATCTATCCTCTACCCCCACTCCTCCTGCAGCAACCCAGCAAAACACTTCTCCCACACTGTCAGTTATCTTGACTGTGGGAAGTTCAGAATCAAAAATGAAGTCAGTATGTCAAGTCCTAACAGAATGGAGTGGGGAGGCCATGAACAGGGTGGGCTTTCACACACATTGCTTGATGTCAAGAACTATCACAAAACACTGTCAAAACCACCGCCTTGCACAGGGTCTGCAGGAGGCCCACATAGCCGCAGGCTAGTCAACCTTGGACTGATGACACCCTTGCTAATGGAGCCTGTGGGCAACCGTAGCTGTCTCTCAGTCACTTACTTTAGGTTGGTAACTGCTTATCATCACAGCAATATTGGGTTTTAGGAAGAAAATCTCCTTCCTCCCTCCTTCAGGCAACCAGTACAGGTGTATTACTTTGTGTGTTATCTAAGTTTGTAGCTGAATTTCTTCATTTGTAAAGCTGGGGTGCATATTAGCATGGATGTCAAAGGGCTGTTACAAGGAAGAAGGTAGTTAATCGATATATTAGTTTTCTAGAAATACATAACAAATAAGCATAATTATTAATATCTGACATTAATATGCTTGTACCAATTCATGGTTTCTGAGGGTCAGGAGTCCAGACCAAGTTAAACTGGATCTTTTGCTTGGGAGAATTCACAGAGCTGCCATCAAGGTGCTGACCAGAGCTTAACCAGGGAAGGGTCTGCTTCCATGTTCCCTAATGTTGCTACAGAGTTCAGGTTCCCAAGGGTTGCTGGACCACAAGCCTGAAATCCCTGCTGGCAGCTGCTCTCAGAACCTTGTCAGACGGCCTTCTCTTTGGGATGTTTTCATTACAGCAAGCCAGCTGGAAAGGCAGTAGGGAGTCTGCTAGTAAAACAGAGATTCTAATCTCCAGAACCTGTCATGGTTTGAATGTGTCCTTCAAATATCCTGTGCTGGAAGCTTAACCCCCAACATCCTTGTTAGTGGAATTGGAGGGGAGACTTTTGGCAGGTGATTGGCAGAGCCCTCATGATGGATCAATGCACTTATGCGTTAATGCATTGTTGAGGGAGTTGCTCCTGTAGTTTGGTTTAAGGGTTGCCTCCGTACACTCCCACATGTTTAATCCCAAAGATTTACAATGCTGAAAGGGTGAAAACTTAGTCCAATTATGGTGTGTCATTTTGGAATTGAGTGGAGTCGTCAAGATGGCATTAGTGCCCTTCTGGTAAAGGCACTCTCCCCTCTGTGAGAAAGTAATGGGAAGCCAGGAAGAGCTCCCTTACAAACAAACAAACAAACAAACAAATCTTCCAGCCCCCAGACTTGGGATTTCCCAGTCTGTAGAACTGGGAGAACTAAGTGTTTGTCTTGGAAGTCAGCCGGTGTGATACAGCAGTTGGAATGTACTAAGATAACCCCTTACTAGCGGCTTGCCTGGAGTTTAAATCCATGATTTCACTGGGAGTTGTAAAAGAGTGAAAACTTAAAGGAAGCACATTGCTATGGTTTACGTGTGGTTCATCCCCTGCAATTCATGTTGAGATTTGATTGCCACTGCAGTCGTATTGAGAAGTGGTGCCTTGAAAGGGTGTCTAGGTTGTTGAGAGGCAGTAATGCCTTTCCCCCCAAAGATTAGCTCTCTAGAGAATGGGCTTTTCGGATGCAAGGCCATCCTGGTGTTTTTGCCTCTTTCCCAGGAAGCTACCCATCCTGCATCCCAGCACATGTGAGGCAACCTGAAGCCTGATGTTTGCTCTCTGGCCTCTAGAACTGGAGCCAACATAAACCTCTCTTTCTTAATGACTTGGTGCTCTCAATAGCAACAGAACACAGACTAAAACAGGCATCCTTTCATGAACCATTTAACCTTCCTGAGTACCGTTCATGTGGAAGGTTAGAGAAATACTCCATGTTCAGAATAACACCTTGGTGGTTTTTTTTTTTTTTTTTTTTTTTTTTTAATTGTTGCTTACACTGTATTATGTAGTACAGTTTTATAGGCGCTGGGGATTCCCCCCACCCCTCCCCATACCCCTCCCCCCATGGTGGATTCCTCCACCTTGCTGCATAACCATAGTTCAAGTTCAGTTGAGATTCATTGCTTGCAAACACATGCCTAGCATAAAGTTCAGCGTCTTATTGTCCAGATAAGTTCAGTGGCCTCCTGGGGAGACCTTCTATGGTCTGAAGATAGGTCTAACAGAGTAAAGATCCGGTCGGTTAAAAGCCTCAACAAGGCCTCAGTATCAATATACAACATTATGGAATTAATTGACATTGTATTGGGTAAACAATATGTTAAAAATAATGCAAGTTCCATTCTTCGAAACATCTGGGTTGAGACAGCATCAATGACACGTTCAAAAAATAACAAACAACCAAACAATAAATTACAGGTTAAATCAAGGCAAACATGTGGTATCTAATCTTTTGGGATTCGCTCATTTCCCTTAGCATTATAGTTTCCAGTTGTGCCCATTTAGCCACAAAGAACTGCATTTTGTTTTTTTTAATAGCTGAGTAGTATTCCATGGAGTAGATGAACCAAAGCTTTCTTATCCAATCTTCTGCTGATGGGCATTTCGGTTGCTTCCATGTTTTTGCAATTACTGATTGTGCTGCAATGAACATAGGGATGCATGTTGGTTTGTCGTAACACCTTGGTGTTGAAAGAAACTCAATGTTGATGATTGAAGGCCTTAAAGATGATTAAATCATGAATATGTATATATGTATTTCAGTCCACTGCAGTCATGATTCTAATGGTCTCATTTAAGTGAAGATCATGTCAGTTCCCTACCCTTCTGACTCAGCTTTAGCTTTGTGCCAGTTCTTCACCACAGGGCAGAGGCTTGTAGAAACTACAGAGTCCGTAGCCACACTTTGATGTTGTGAACTTGAAGGTGACTTCTGGAGCCCAGACTGTTATATATTCTGCCCATTGCCTAAACTCCAGCATTCTCAGCAATTATGGGAGCCATCTACCCTTGCAGTGAATTCTTTTTATATTTCCACCAAGAATCCTGTTGCATATAAATGGAAGTAGTAGAACTAGGCAGCCCAGTTAATATTTTAAAAAATTACAAGGAGCATAATGCAGTAGCCTAGTGGCTAAAATCCTGACTTTGCATGTGTCGGGATTCCATGTGGGTGTCAGTTCTAATCCCACTTCCCATCCTGCTTGTGGCCTGGGAAAGCAGTCAAGGATGACCCAAATCCTTGGGACCCTGCACCCTCATGAGAGACCTGGAAGAAGCTCCTGGCTCCTGGCTTTGGGTTGGCTCTGCTCTGGCCATTGCAGCCACTTGGGAAGTGAAGCAGCAGACGGAAGATCTTCTCTATCTCTACTCCTCTCTGTATATCTGCTTTTCCAATAAAAGATAAAATAAACCTTAAAAAAGAATTAAAAGGCAGGTAAGAAAAGTATAAAAATATCATTTATATAGATCAAAAAGCACAAACTAATGCAACCTTTTGCTCTCTCAATGTGTAGTGCTCAAGTAGTAGAGCTGTGGTTATGCAGAGAAATCATGGGTTGTGAGACACACATTGCAAGTGTGACAGTGTCTGCCTCTTGAAATGTGGGCTGAGAACTAGCTGCAGGTGGAGTTTAAGATTTTTCACGAGAGAATGAGTGAAAAGCAGTTTATGGATCACAGCACTGCTGGGAGACAAAGGCAAGACAGGCCAACGTCCTTATCCATGTCCTTTGAGTAAACCTGTATTTGGCAGAAAAAAACAGAACTTATTTATGAACTGTCCTTGCCAGCACATCCTGGGTCAAAGGACTCCTTATGGCAAATAAACGCAGAAGCTGGAATGCATGGCTCCACAGCAAAGTAACCATCCAGGCTACAGCACGAAGCCCGTTGGGTGTTCTGAGACCCTCGTGGGAGACTCACCTGTCACAGCAGGTGGAAGCGTATGTTTGCCAGCACATACGTTGTTACATTCTGCTGCATATAACTTACATAACACACTTCTTTTCTTTTTTTTTAAGATTTATTTTATTTTTATTGGAAAGTCAGATATACAGAGGGGAGGAAAGACAGAAAGATTTTCCGTCCGATGTTTCACTCCCCAAGTAACTGCAACAGCCGGAACTGCATGGATCCAAAGCCAGGAGTCAGGAGCTTCTTCCAGGTCTCCCACATGGGTGCAGAGTCCCAAGGCTTTGGGTTGTCTTCGACTGCTTTCCCAGGCCACAAGCAGGGAGCTGGATGGGAAGTGGAGCTGCCGGGATTAGAACCGGCACCCATATGGGATCCCGGCGTGTTCAAGGCGTGCTACGCCTCGCCACCGGGCCCAACACACTTTTTTCTGAGGCTTCAAAGTCCAAAGTCAAAGTGTTGGCAGGCTTAGCTTCTTGCACAGCACCTCTTTATGGCTTCCTGCTAGCTGCCTGTACCCTGTGTCCTCACAGGGTGGCTCTGATTTCCATGGCGAATCCCTTGCTCTCATCACGACACAAGCCTTAAGGGATTCGTATCCACGGTATGACTTCCGTTTGGATGACTTGTGTCTTGTTCGTTGGTAAAGGTGGGTGCCCAGGAAGCTCTCTGATTCACCTGAATGTGATCCTGAGTGTTAACTCAAGCCACAACTGCACTGCTTCTTCTTCTTCTTCTTTTTTTTTTGAAAAAACAGACTTGAAGCAAATATGACGAAAGACTAATGTGCCAATCTGAATGCTTGATGTAACGGCTTTTCTAACTTTGTCCATTTTAAGTTTCTCAAAAACAGAACATAAAAGGAAAGGGACATGGGAATTCTTGATTGCAGGCAGAGCAGGGTGCTTGCCACTCCTGGGGGTGCCAACCCGCAGAAGGAAAGTCACAGTGCCGTGGAAATAATGTTTTAAATTAACAAAGCGAGGCAGATTTAAAAAAAAAAAAACCAGACAGCTATCCATGTCAGGCCAGTGAGCAAACTGAGAAAGAAACCAACAGCAAATCCGAATGCTTTCCAAATATACCTTGCCCTTTCATATATCTTATTTGAAAAGCACACAGAGAGGGATTAATTTTTAAAAATAGATCAATAAAACCCACGGAAAGTGTAACTCAAAATCATTTTTTGGAGGAAATCAACAGGTAGCTAAGAAAAAAGGGCATGAAGCCGACCTGAGTCCGTAGGAAGAAAGAAATACTTGGGCATTGTTCTTATCGATTTATGTTTTTGTTTTTTGTTTTTTTCTTCTAGGGCTTGGCAGGTGCGTGTGCTCAACTAGCAGAGGGGCCGGGGATCACCGCAGCTTAGGTAAAAGCGCCCAGCGGGCACGGTGCGCCCAAGCACAGCCTCTGCCCGCGAGGAGAGCTGCAAGTGAAAGCCACGCACTTTGCACTTGGCGCCAGCGACCCCGCGAGGCGACGCAGGGAAGCGCGTCAGTGCGCAGACTCGGCGGGCGGCCGCGCGCAGGCGCACAGCGAGCGGCACCCCGGGTTGGGGCGTGGCGCGGCCCGGCAGCTTGCTCAAGTCAGTCAGCGGTGGCGTAGCGCCGGGCCGGGTGGCGCGCCATGGCGTTGAGGGGCATCCTTGTGGTGGAGCTGTCCGGCCTGGCGCCGGGTCCGTTCTGCGGGATGATCCTGGCCGACTTCGGGGCGCAGGTGGTGCGCGTGGACCGCCCCAACACCCGCGGCGACGGGGGCGTCCTGTCCCGGGGCAAGCGCTCGCTGGTGCTGGACCTGAAGCAGCCGCGAGGGGTGTCGGTGCTGCGGCGCCTGTGCGCCCGGGCGGACGTGCTGCTGGAGCCCTTTCGCTGTGGTGAGCCCGGGCCCAGGACGGAGATGGCAGCCGCCCACCCCCTTGCCCCGTGCGCGCCCTGGACGCGTGACCTCCCCAGCCCTTCTAGGTCCGCCTGTGGCGTGTGAGGCCCGTCCTTTGCCTCTGAGACTCATCTTGAGATAACGGCAATGGTTCTCCCTTCTTGGTTTCTCGCTGACCTCCCACCTCCCCCGTTATTCCTAAATCACCTTGCTTGTGGACGTTTTTGAGTCCTGTGAGAATCCCGTGTGAACCATAGATTGTCTCCCTGGGGGACTGCGATTTGGTGTCTGGTCCATTAACTGCCGTTTTACACAGACTTGGCCAACACTTTCTGCCTTCAGGATTGGTGTTCCCGTGTTCAGCTTCAGCTAGCTTCCTTTGCCCTCTGCTCCCTGGTGTCACTTTGTCCATCCCACGTGACACCCAGCTCTCGTAACTGCACCGCAACTGTTGGAGCCGCAGATGGCTGGGGGTAGGCTGGTCCCTCTGCAACTGCCTTAATTCCCAGTCACCTCTCCTGGGGACAGAACCAGTGTCCGTGCAAGTACCTGAGTCAGGTACCCGTAGTTCGTTTGACACCCATTTCTGTCAACCTCACCTGCTTCAGCGATCCAGGGACTCGCGGGTTGGAATGGCTCCTCTCCATACCAGGTACAATCACGTGGACCCTGGCTCAGCAGCCCTTTAAAAACTGGAGTTTGAAGTCCACCATCACTCGAAGCCTTCTCAGGCAATCTACCACCAGTGAAATTTTGCTCAAGTTACCTATCCTAAAATACTGCCAGGGAAGAAAGAGTGAAATGTTTGAGAACATTGAGTGCTGGAGAGTGCATTGAGGTGCTCCGTTCACCCTGGCAGCTGTGTGAGGACTTAATCATTAGGGCTATATAATAAATCACATATCAATTGATGATGAGGTGTTAGAGGTTGTGTGGCTGGCCAGCTAGAGGATTATCAGGTTCTTTATCCATTTTTTGTAGCTCTCAGACGATGGTGTCTATTATGGAACCTTGATTGTGTTTAATCCCAGTGGATGTGGGTGCCAAGTACCTGGTTTTGTTCCCTAAATATGTTTGTAGCTAGATTAAGAACTCAGAAGCCATGAGAGCTGGCCTTTCCACGATAGCTAGACCCTTCCCATGTCTCTTTATTGAAGGTGGTGATGCACGGTGGGTACTTCAGGGGCTTTAAAAGAGCGAATCTTGAATTTTAGGTAAAAAAAAAAAGCTTATGCATACGTTTTCACAATGAACATTTTTCACATTATGAAATTTTTATACCAAACAAAATATATATATATATATTTTTTTTTGCTTCCAAATAGGAATACTTTTAGCTTTATTTTCCATGAGAGTTTGACCTGCATCCTGAGTTTGAAGGTGATGGACACTGATGTGGGCATAGAAAGGGGGACACAGGGACGTGTATGCCAGTTCGGCAGCTTGAGCAGGGGCTGACACACCTACGGGGAAATAAAGGGGTCCTAGGAGAACAACCCCGCTCTGGGGCTGAGGCTGTCCATCCCAGAGGCAGGGCCTTCACTCTCTGGGTCTCTAATGGAAACATGCTAGAAAACCCACCTGTGGGGTGCCGGCCACTGCTGGCCTAGAAGAATGGGTTTTCTCTAGGTTCATCACAAGCTGTCTGAAATTGTTGTTGCCTCTGCAGGTGTCATGGAGAAGCTGCAGCTGGGCCCCGAGATCCTGCAGCGCGAGAATCCCAGGCTCATCTATGCCAGGCTGACTGGGTTTGGCCAGTCAGGCAGATTCGCCAGGGTAGCTGGCCATGATATCAACTATTTGGCTGTGTCAGGTATGTCATGAAGGGAGATTTGGAAGTTTCTCTGCATCTTGTGTTTGTTTCCTGTGGAGCTACAGGTGCACTGATGAAGAAGCATTTTTACTTTTTTTTTTTTTTTTTAAGAAGAAGCATTTTTACATGTGAACATGTAACTAGGTGTCAGGCTCAATAAGAACTCGGTTATTTGAAGTGAGTTGACCAGCACGTTTGAGCGATGATATAGTGTCACTTGTCGTATTTCTTGACTACATAAGTGGTGTCAGTTATCAGATAAGCCCCTAGCAGGAAGCAAGACACTTGCTGGTGTTGGGGTGGTTGTTCTGTAGATCGTTGTGTCACCCCTCCCCACCCCTCTCCCTTGAATCATTGTTTCAGGCTTCTGTGAACACTAGATAAAGAACCTGGTCTCAGGTGCTATACTCATTTCATTAGAATATTCTAGAATTCTACCAACTCTGTGTTAAATGACAAAGCATGGGTGGGGGATGTCTGGCTGGCCAACTGTACGAAGCCCAAGAAATCACTTGAGACTGTGGCTGCTGATGAATCTAGGCATTGAGCAAGTCTATAGCAGGCTGATTGTCAAGTTGCTGACTTTGTATGGCCTGTGAATGAGGTTACAAATATGCAAGTGGCCCTTGGCAAAACAGAAAGAGGAAGAGGGAAGAGAAAGAAAAAGAGAGGGAAGGAGAGAGAAAGAGAGACCTTCTACCCATTGGCTCACTCCCCAAATATTGCAATAGCCAGGCTTGGCCAGGTGCGGCTTGGCCAGGTGCAGGCAGGAGCCGAGGGCTCACTTTGGATTCTGGTGCAGGTGGTGGGGACTCAGCTACTTGTGCTTTCACCCAGGGCGCGCGCGCGCGCGCGCGCGTGTGTGTGTGTGTGTGTGTGTGTGTGTGTGTGTGTTAGCAGGGAGCTGGGATTGGAAGCAGAGCTTAGCTTGAACCTAGGCTCTAATATAAAATAAAGGCATTCTTTTCTTCTTCTTCTTTTTTTTAAGATTTATTTATTTTTATTGGAAAGGCAGATTTACAAAGGGAAGGGGAGACAGAGAGGAAGATCTTCCATCTATTGATTCATTCCCCAAATGGCCACAATAGCTGAGCTGATTTGAAGCCAGGAGTCAAGAGCTTCTTCCAGTCTTCCACGCAGATGCAAGGATCCAAGGTCATGGGCCATCCTCTACTGCTTTCTCAGGCCACAAGCAGGGGGCTGGATGGGAAGTAGAGCAGCTGGGACACAAGTCAGTGCCCATATGGGATCCTGGCACTTGCTGGGGAGGATTAGCCAATTGAGCCATGTGCCATGCCTGAAATATAGATATTCTAAGCAGTATCTTAAGTACTGTACCAAAAGCCTGCCCTATTATGCTGTTCTAAAACAATCAGCTAAATTGATAATATCTCCTTCTTACTACTCCAGAAGTCAGCATTAAAATTCCACAACTGTCAGCTGTAAAATTTTGAAGATAGGCCTGGCATGGTAGCCTAGTGGCTAAAGTCCTCACCTTGCATGCACCAGTATCCCATATGGGTACTGGTTCTAATCCTGGCTGCCCAACTTCTCATACAGCTCCCTGCTTGTGGCCTGGAAAAGCAGTGGAGGATGGCCCAAAGCCTTGGGACCCTGCACCCACATGGGAGACCCAGAAGAGGCTCCTGGTTTTGGACCAGTGCAGCTCTGGCCATTGTGGCCACTTGGGAAGTGAATCAAAGGACGGAAGATCTTCCTGTCTATCTCTCCTCCTTTCTGTATATCTGCCTTTCTAATAAAAAAAATAAATCTTAAAAAAAATTTTTTGTAGGCAAAAAAATATCAAAATCAGGAAGCTGTCTTGAGGTAGAGCCTGTTAGTCTGCTGAAGAAGTCGGATTTGGAAAAGTGCTGTGTACTGGTTTTCATGCAGGTCAGCTACTGGAAGGACGTGTTAGTTCTCTAAGATGCTCATGTGTTTATTTAGAAGGGACATTAGATTTGTTTCTTACGGTGCAGGTATTCTGTCCAAACTTGGCAGTAGAGGTGAGAGCCCACGTCCTCCTCTCAATCTCCTGGCTGACTTCAGTGGCGGCAGCCTCGTGTGCGCGCTGGGCATCATGATGGCACTTTTTGAACGCACACGCTCGGGCAAAGGTCAAGTCATTGATGCAAGCATGGTGAGTACCAACTGGAGAATTGTCGTAGAAACCAAGGAAGGATCAGGTGCTGGGGAGAAAAAGATTCTCAAGGAGCCCAAACTGGGTAAATACCTTGAGAGTCTGAAGACCAAACTGTAATTTGGATTGGGTCATTGGTTACCTTTGCAAAATCCATTTCCACACCAAAATTGCCTTGTTTGTGGTACCTTGGCCTGCTGCTTCCTCTCTGTCCTACCAGGTAAACCCAGCCCACCCCATACTATGTGCCTTGTGATACTGTCATTAGGACACATCTGACATTGTCCCTGCGTCCTCCCTGGCCTGTGTTCCAGAAATGGGCAGCTTGTGGTTTTATTTCCAGCTTCTGGCTCAACTGTGGTACAGTCGCAGCATGAAATAGCAGGAGCACTGGTTTTGTTGTGGACACATGGAGTTTTGTCCCCCACAAAGACAGGTGTTCTAAATGCAGACACATGTAAGCTGCACAGAGTAATTGTGTTAAAAGGTGAGAAAGTGAGCATGACACGTGCATGAATGGGGGTTGTTTCACATGGGAAAATTGCTTGCCATTGTGGGTCAGAGTTGCCCGAAGTGAGGAGGCCTGGGGGAAAGGAGAGAGGCACCTGGGAAGAATATCTAGCTGTGGTTCCCAGCGAAAGAGAGCGCGACCCTCCCCTAAACTTGGCCTCCTTGATGAGGTAGGGAGCAGAGGGGTAGTACCTCCACAGGTGTGAAGCCACCTCCACAAGTTGCACCTGGAACTTAAGTTCCATGTTTCCATGACAGCCCCCCCAAATGTCCCAGATGAAAAGAAGGCATTGTAATGTACAAGTCAGGGGACGGAATTACATAGAGAGGCTTGCAGTGACTTCCAGCTCACTACCAGTTACCAGCTACCTACTTAGACCATATCAGTTTCATACCTAGCTGTTGACCTCCTTTCATGGAAGACCTTTGTGTTGGGAGAGCAGACTGCCTGCTTCTGCAGCAGGCAGTGGCAGGCCTTTTGACCCGAAGCCCGGGCTTTCACTCATGTATCTCTGTTGCCCTTCACATGATCCATGGGGGCCGTGAATGAAGGGCAAACACAGGCCTTTGGAGTTTAGGGGAGAATCTAAGGCTTACTGAGGACTACATGAATATTTAGCCATAATTTCAGGAATTTATTGAGCATATGCAGTTGCTTATTCAAAGTCAAATATAGATGAAAGAAGATGGCTATTTTCATCAGACTATAATTGTATTCACTGCTGCCCAGCGTTGTGACACAGTTTCCCTACTGGGCCCAATTCCCTGCCATGGATCTCGCACTCTCCAGGTAGTTCTGTATTATAGTTTGACAGGATTTGCCCCCAGTCTCAGCATTTGCCAGCTGATGCTGCAGCAAAGCCCAGCCAACCTGTACTTACTCTGGCTCATGCATGCACCAGAGGCTAGTCAGTTAACCTAGCCTTGTTCTCCCCTCAAGCTAGTCTACATCTAGGCCAACAGGTTGTTATAGCCTTCCCCAGCCTGGTCTGCCACAGTCCCAGTTCCCACGCTTGCCAGTGGGAGCAATAGCCCAGCAGGGAATTCCATGCAACCCCTATACCAGGCTCGCCACCCCTCCCCCGAGATTTCACATGGACTGGTGAGTACTGTGGCCCAGTCTGGCATGGCTTGCTTAACCTCAACATTTGTTGGTAAGTGCTGTAACCTGGCCCAGCCCAGTCTGTGCTCACTACCAGCTCATACTGGTAGGTGCTGCCACCCAACCACGCCCAGTCAGCCCTCAGTCCTGGCTCTGATGTGAATAGGCTGGTATGTGACCTAACCTGGCCTGTCGTGGTTCTCAGATCTGCTGTTGAATGTTATGAATTGGCCTAGCCTGGCCCATCTCCACCCCAATCCATATATATGCCAGTGGGTACTGTAACCTGGCATGGTCTCTGCTATTACTTGTCTTGGTTATTGCACTTACCTCTAGGGACTGCTTCTTGGTAAAGGTGTTCCCCAAGCTTCTCTATCAGGTCTCCTCTCAATCGCAGATCTTGCACACACCAGTGGGTCCTTGACCCAGGCTGACTTAATTTACTGTATTTCCAGGAACAATGTCCTTACCCAACTGCCCCATACCCAGTCTGGTTCTTACTGTTGGGTGTTACAGCCCAGCCAGATCTGCCATGTCCAGATACAGCTCTCATGTGGTTTAGTGGATGCTGAGACCTAGCCCAGCTTGTTCTAGACCCACCCTGGCTTTCATGAGCATCAGTGGGTGCTGGGTTCTAGTCCAGTCTGGCACACCCCAAACTCAGTCCACACCCATGCCGAAGGACACTACAGCCATGTCCAGTGCAGATTGCCAACCCCATTCTGGCTCTCATGCTCACAAGTGGGAACCACAATCCAACTGGGGCTTCCCCTTAACTCCCCAACCAGGCCTGTTCCCCTACAGATCTTGCATACATGCTAGTGGTTGCTCTGACCCAGTCCAGCATAGCCTATCCCCCATCTCAGTCTGCCATCAGATGCTGCAGCCTGGTCTGATCCTACCTGCCCCCAGTCCCTGCTCTCCCTGGAGGGTGCTGCAGCCTAGCCTTGCCCATTCTGCTCCCATCACTGACTCATGCAAACCAGTAGGTGTGATAGCCTAACCCGGCATGTTCCACACTCCAGCCTGGCTCCTGCACACACCAGTGTGCTAAGGTTTGGTTTGACCCTGCCTGATCTGCCTGTAAGTCATACTCTTACTTGTCTGGATTTGCATTGTATTTTGCTTCTTTAAAGGTGGAGGGAACTGCGTATCTGAGTTCCTTTGTCTGGAAAACTCTGAAATCGGGACTGTGGGAACAAGCTCCAGGAAGGAACCTGTTAGACGGTGGAGCACCTTTCTACGCGACATACAGGACTGCGGACGGAGAGTTCATGGCTGTGGGAGCAATAGAACCTCAGTTCTATCAGCTGCTGATTGAAGGTAGTTGTCCTGATTGGCCTTTCCCCACTTCCTTTTACTGTGGGTGTTCTTTAACCTGTATTTTGGGTTTTGTGAGATTCATTTCTTTTGTTACTTATCTGCTCTCTAATTAACCCAATGATCAGCACCAACACTTGTTATGGCTTTGCAACAGGTTCACATTGGGAAGACTAAACCCTCCAACTTCGTTATTTTTCAGTATTGTTTAGGGTATTCAAAATTGTTTGCATTTTCGTATGCATTTTAGCATCAACTTCTAGTTTCTGCGAGCTGTTTTTGAGAGGGGGCTGTATTAGCTTGTGCATCAGTCTGGAGTGTGGCCATCTTTTAAGCCTTCCAAACAGAACATGGGACACTTTCCTTCTATTTGGGTCTCTTTGGTTTCTTTCAGTGATGCCTTGAAGTTTTCAGGTCTGTGTCCCATGCTTGGTGCACGTTGTTATTTTCAAACATGCTTGTGTGGAGTGCTCATTGAACATCTGTGTTCTGCCTCAAAGAAGGAATCAATTCTGAAGTGCTAAAAATTAAACAAGACATTGTTCTAGCAGACTAATTGCCTCAGTCCTCAACTTCTGATCACCCTCTTGTAAGTTTTCTCCAGTGGAGCAATGTAACATCTATGTCTGGTCATTCCTTCTCTGCATCCACAGTCCTCTGTGATGGCCTTAGCCCGCCTTTTCTTCAAAATCTACAAAGGATCCTTAGTTGAAAAGTGGGTAAATCAGCTTTTGTATAGTCTACATAGCCCCTGCCAAAATACCCCAGAATTTTCTTTCTTTTAATATTTAATTATAAAAGTTTTACCTTTACTCATCCCATACATGAAGGGACCTCAAAAGTATGTATTTTTGTAAAATTTTTAAACCCATGCCTAGTTTTTCATAATATTCATTTCCCATGTGTTTTTAGAAGACTTATTATTTCTCTCTCAGTACACACTAGACAAATCCCCACATTTATAGTGGTTTTTAAAGTAGCTTTAGTTGCACATCTTGTTTGTTTCCTCTTAATTTTGTGACGTCTCTGTGGCCGTGTCTTGGGGTACATCCTCAGTGTCTGAACACAAGTGCACAGGATTCCTGTAAGCTCTACCTCAGCTGCAGTGTGTCCCTGCTCTCAGGGGGAACAAGGTCTGCAAGACCGAGAGTGTTGTTAGATTTTATGACAACAAAACCATTATAGTGCAATCAAATAAACAATAAAGAATTTTAAAAAATTGTCTTAAACTTCAAAATATTGTTTTTATAAAATCCAGAAAAAGAATTTATCAGTGGGAGCATGGAAAAACTGAAACCCCTTGGTATTACAGTGGGGATAAACATGGAACCATGCTATGATTCTGCATAATAAAGGATAAGCAAAATATGGCACCTATGTACAAAAATATTACTAAGCTGTGAAGAGGAAGAGAATTCTGACAGAGGCTACAACATAGATGAACCTTCAAGACGTTATGTTAGATTAGCTCAGGGAAGAACAAATATTGTGTAATTGCACTTCTGTAAGATCGTCACAGTAGTGCAATACATAAATCATATAGTAAAATGGTGGCTGTTGGAGGCCGAGAGAAGGAAGGAATAGTGAATTCCTGTTAGATGGATAGCAGGATTTCCTTTCTTCTTGCTTCTCTGGGGACTTGGGCATCTTCAGAGCAGCTTTCAAGTAGCCACTGTGCTTTTCCATGAGAGGGGAGGAAAGGACGGTAAAGGCATGCATGTGGGAAAGGGCCTTTCATCATCCACATTAAAATACCCTCTTCTATGAGAGAAGAAAAATGACATTTATCCTCCACCCCAGGAAGCCAGCCTGGAGGTAGAAGTTAACCAGTACTGGCATTCGGCAGTATTTGCAGAGTGGGCTTGTGCAGTCTATAAAGGAACACAGATGAGGCCTTGGGCAGAGGAAACCACCCTTCCTGCTGAGTCCCCAGGCTCAGGCTTTCATCTCCGGGTGGCGCTGAGGGGTCCTGCAAAACCCTTTCATGCTGGCAGGTCAGTCTGCACTCCCACTGTTGACTGGCTGGCCGAGAACACTCTTACTTATATACTGTAGACTGTGGCTTTACACATCCCTTGTTCCTGGAACTTAGCCTTTTCTGCTTCCTTAATTTAACCAAATATAGAAGTGAATGTTTGTGACACTGCAATCCTGAATTTAATCACTTGTCTTCAAGGTTTCTTGCTTAAAAACTGAGATAGTGAGTGATATTGCTTAAATTTATTATTTTTAGAGCTTAGATACATGATACAAAACGTGGGGTAGTTTTAATTCAGTAATTCAGTATGACAGATAGTAACAGCCTAAGGACATTTCTTTCTCAAAACCAACCCAGTGGGAAAGGGAAGATAGCAGTCTCTGGAAGCTGGACATTGATAGCAGACCACTTTTGATGAAATGTCAATATCAAAATCTTGGCAGTGATTGCCTCCCCTACTATCGCTGCCTTCTCCAGCCTTTGGCTTCAATTTCAAACTGAATCTGGATTTTCTTCCCTTGCCACATTTGAGAAATCAGCATAGAACATCTTATCTGGAACAGCATGGTGGGCTCAAAATTCATTTCCATTCATTCTAATTACTCTATTCATAGCCTAGTAATTCCAGAAATTGCATTCCCCCTTTCTTCTCTCCCTCCGCGAACCTCCACCAGGACTCGGACTGAAGTCTGATGAACTCCCTAATCAGATGAGCGTAGCTGATTGGCCAGAAATGAAGAAGAAATTTGCAGATGTATTTGCAAAGAAGACCAGGGCAGAATGGTGTAAGATCTTTGATGGCACAGATGCTTGTGTGACTCCTGTGCTGTCCTTTGAAGAGGCTGTTCATCACGAGCACAACAGGGAACGGGGCTCATTCATCACGGATGAAAGTCAAGATGTGAGTCCCCGCCCTGCCCCAGTGCTGTCCAACACGCCAGCCCTCCCTGCTCAAAGAGGTGCTGTTATGGGAGAACACTCTGAAGAGATCCTTAAAGAAATCGGATTCAACCAGGAAGAGATCAATCAGCTGAAATTAGATAAAATCATTACAACTAATAGACCAATGGCTAATCTGTAACTTAGGGCTCATAGTTCAGGTAAAATTGAATATTGCTTTTACAATGTAGAATAATCTGCAAAATTATATGCATGGAAACATGGCAGAACAATAATGCGGTGGTCCAGCTATCTTGATCAAGAAACAAGCATTGATTTCCTGGTCGTGATGGGGTTCTCAGTGTGATAATCATGAAAGTGTTGATTTTGAAGCCTTTTGAGTATTTATAATGATTCAGGACAGTTTTTCTATATATTTAATTAAGATATTTTAGTGACATTAAAATGCTACTAAATATTTTAAATGGATAAATTTAATGTGTTAAATAAAATAAATTGTTTTCCTCTAAAATGTACTTGTACCTTAAAACATTTCAAAATTTTATTTAAGAGGCAGAGAGGGACAGAGCTCCCATTCCATAATTTAATGCCCAGCGAGGCGGAGGAGGGGTGGTGTAGAGGGGTGTGAAGCTAAGCAGTGACCTAGTTCCTTGATTCATCACTACTGCTTCCCAGGGTTTGCAGGAACAGGAAGGGATTGAACTCTAATGTCATACCTGAGCATCCTAACTTGTATTTTAGCCACTAGGCCATATGTCTGCTTCTGCTTATACTTTTAAGTTTGTGAGAAATCGCTTCAAATACCATTTCAATAACACTTTGTGATTCATTGAAATATTTTCGGTTTTACCAACATGAAAATTCTTAGAGAATCTTAGCCATTATAATTTTGCAACAACCAATACAACACACACTATCATGGAAGCTTTGGGAAGTATTTTATACATTTAGTTCACTGTTAAATCTCTAGTTTGTAGCATAGTGTCAATCCTATGGTGGAAATTAAAATTTATTTTTTGAAGATTTATCTTTTTGAAAACCACAGTTACAGAGAGAGGAAAAGGCTGAGACAAAGAGAATCTTCCGTTCCCGGGTTCACTCCGCAGGTGGCTGCAGTGGTCACGATGGTCCCTGCCCACAAGGCTGGTGCTCCCTGGGGCTGGCATCCTGGTGTTTCTGCTTTTCTGAGGCTCATGTGCCACACTGCTTGCTGCTTTCCCTGGTGAGCATTTCCTGTTGCTGTTACCTCTAACTTCCTGGGATCTCCATCGCAGCTTTCCTGCAGCTCTATTGAGCATGACCTCATCAGAGGTTCCAAACCCGTGGTACAGCTTTGGCCAGCCTCCCAGGCTTTCTTTTATATCGTGGTGTGAGCCACCTGACCCCCACAACACCAGCATGAGCCACACCCAAGCCTGCCTGAGCCATAGTTGCTGTCCCGGTGTGCTCTACTGGCTGAAAGCAGGGATAAAAACTGGTTACTCTTGGACAATCTCACAGAGAGCATCCTGTGGTGTCCTGGCCTGCCAACCAAGGGAGAAGGACATCCAGCATCTAAGTTCTCCTTAGTGCCCTTGGGGCTCCTTCTCACATTGTCTTGCTTAGCACATGTCTCTGCTTCATGGCTGCTCATGTCCTTAGCAAGTGACACCTTTCCTCTCCCATACAAGCTTTTTCTTTCTTCTCTGGCCAGACAGCAAATTTTTCTTCGTGCCTCTGATTCTCGCTGTAGGATTTACTACACGTGTCCAGCAACACTCTTGGACAGCCTGGATGCTTTTCTGTCAAACACCTATCAGCGTTCTGCTCTTCACTGGAACTGTCCTTAATGCTCTGCTTATAAACATTCTAGGCTTTCTCTGGCTAGCTCTTCCAAACTTCCGTTATTTCCCAGTAAGCCAATTCTGGTGTTCAGTAGCAATTAGACTGAGCTTGATAATTTGCCAGATATCCTTGTGTGAATCAAACGAGGGTGCTGGCAACACAACTGATGATCTCCCAAAAAGAAAGTCATGTTTTGACTCCCAACCTAGAGGCTAGAAGAGGTTGCCAGATCCTGTCACTTGGGCTGGGCATCACGTGGGCTGTTTGCTCTATCATCAGGTGAGTAGCAAGCTCTGGATCTTATCTCCACACAGAACCACAGCAGAAGAGAGGTCTCAGGAGCTCCCAGCAAACTTTGGACTGAGTGAAGTCACAAGCCAGGCCCACCCCAGTCTTTGTCAAGGAAGGACCTTCCTCCTTAGGAGGTCAGCTGGCTTCCAGAGCTGCCCTGAACTCAGCTTCCCAAAGTGCAAGGGTGTAGGAGGGAGCAGTGTGTTCCAGGACCCTGTCCAGGTCCCACCAGGATGGAGGGATTGCAGGGTGGGTGTTGGATAAGCAGCTAGTGAGGTCTGTTACAGACAGGATCTCCACTGCTCCTCAGTGATTGCAGGGGGACGACAGAGCAGGTGTCCCTATTTCACAGAGAAGCAGAGACTCAGAACATCCTAAGCCTCATTAATTCACCCCTTCTGTAGTGTCTCCATAAATTTTATTCATGGCACCCTATGCTAAAAAATATATAAATATTCAATATATAACTGATTAGGACCCAACTGCCTGTTTAAATAACTAACGACTTTAAAAAGCATTTGAACAACGTAAGACTCATAAATGAAAGAAACATGATATTTTGCCAATTATTTCACTGCTATTCTCCATTGCTCACTAATGGGCCAGATGCAGCTATTAGAACTGCATAGCTTCTCATACCTTGGAGTCAGACATGACTGGTTTCATTTTCTCTTCTAGGTTGATGTTTATAAATGTACTAAAACTTATAACAATGACTGTGGAAGTCCAGCTACACACACACACACACACGAAATTATCCACAAAATTGCAGTATAATCTTATGTTGAATGTATGAGCCACTTCACTAGTTGTTAGTGTGTTATCTGTTGGTGTCAAATTCTACAGTGTCAGTTTCATTCAAAAGTTTTAAAACCCTAAGACATGCTTGTGAATTTTATGCCCTGTGTGGCTTGACACACAGTCTGAAAAATACCAGTTTGAGTATTTGGTTCAGAGAAAATCAGGATAAGGCGTAATTTGATTTTAATATTCCGACGCCAACTTTTAAAGAACTTTTAGGGCCTTTCCTGCAAGACCATGCTTCCTGTGCAACTCAGAATTGTTTTTTGATCTTAGTGTACAGCAAAGAAAATAGAAACCATTTAGTCTTCAAAACTGGAGAAAATTTAATAAAGAGAACTGTACTGGTGTTGAAAGGACAGAGAAGCCCAGGAAGTGATAACCCAGATACGAACAAAAACAGCAAGTCAGGAACACTCTTAGAGCGGCAGACATGACGGCAAGGTCGGCGTCACAGGCCTGAAAGGTAAGGTTTGGGAAAGCTGGACTGGTGGCCAGAGCGAGCTCAGGAAGGAGACAGGACTGAGAGCTAAGGGATGCTGGGGGCAGAGAATGCACTGATTTACTCCTTTCTATCCCTGGTTTTCTGACCACTGTCTCCCATGGGCAAAATCTATTTATAAACCAGAAAGAAAGGGACTTTGAGAAACATGTCACAAGGTAAAGAGCCAGAGAGGAACAGATCTGGGGAAAAAAAATGCAGCACACATGGTTTATTCACTTCACGTTCTTTCAGCAAATGTTTATTGATGAACTACTCAGTGCCACCTGTCATATTAGACATTAGAGGTAAATTAATGAGCAAAACAGACCTCACCTGCCCTTAAGGAGATCAAAGACTAACACAGGATACAGAACAAACACAGACCTGCCAACTATAACACTACAGGATGTGCAAGGAAAATATCAGGGTGTCAGGAAACAGCTCATGATTTAAAGGAAGGGTAAGCCTTTGCACGATTTGAAGTCTTGTTTATTTTTTGCTTTATTTTTAAAATTTTCATTTGAAAGGTAGAGAAGCACACATCCAAACATATACACATATCCATGAACATTCATATGAGAGAGACACGATCAGAGGACTTTCCATCCTCTTATTTACTTTCCAAATACTTGCAATGGCCAGGTCTAGGCCAGGCTAAATCCAGGAGCCTGGAACTCCGCCTGAGTCTTTAGGGGTGAGAAGGGCCCAAACACCTGAGCCATCATTTGCTGCCTCCCAAGCACATGAGCAGGAAGCTGGATTGGAAGCTAATATGGGACTTGAACCCCGGGCACCCTGATAGGAGGTATAGGAATCTCAATGGCTGATTTACCCACTGTGCTACAGCACTCACCCCCTAAGTCTGGTTTTTGACTACATGTATGTATAAGCTTATATAGTCTGATACAGAATATCTAAGGCTAGAAAAAAGTATATTTGTAAAAGAATACTGACTCATTTATATTTTGATTTACATTCTGTATTGTCTAAGGCTTTGTTATCTCTAAGCCATGTAAGGGCAAGAGGGAGAAAGAGAGAGAGAAAGAGAGAGAGAGAGAGAGAGAAAGAAACAGGGCAAAGGAAGATAGTTTAAGAGAAGCATTCAGACATTCTAAGGAGCCAGAGGGCTCCCAGCAGCTAATCTCCGTCATGCTTTCTACCCCAGCCCCCCCCCCCCCCCGCCCTTTCATCCTGACTTGTGATCTGAAAGGCATGAAAGAATTTGAGCCCCTCCCCCAGCCTGACCATCTCTGTTGGCTGCTCAGCCTGGCTCCATGTCAAGCCATTTGGAGCACAGAGCTGGGGAGCGTGCGGGAAGTCCTGGGCGCCCAACAGGTTTCCTTACCTCATCGGCCATGGGCAGCGACAATGGGCAGACAGGCACCCACACCTATCACTCTCTAGCTGAAGATGGGCCCTTCGGCTCTGTGGAGCCTCCTAAAAGGCCCACAGGCAGACTGATCATGCACAGCATGGCTATGTTCGGCCGGGAGTTTTGCTATGCGGTGGAGGCGGCTTATGTGACCCCAGTCCTGCTCAGCGTGGGCCTGCCCAAGAATCTGTACAGCACCGTCTGGCTGCTTAGCCCTGTCCTCGGATTCCTGCTGCAGCCAGTGGTTGGATCGGCCAGCGACCACTGCAGGTCAGGCTGGGGCCGCCGGAGACCCTACATCCTGGCTCTGAGCATCATGATGCTCTTAGGCATGGCCCTGTACCTCAATGGGGATGCAGTCATATCAGGTATGTGAACTGCATGAGGTGGGTGGGTGGAGATGAATGTCCTCTCGTACCCCTCTTAGGAGATGGTTAATTTCTACTTAGTGACATTCTGTAGAAATTGATTAGAACCAGTGATCTCTCTTAGGACACAGTGAACTTCCTCCCACCTCTGAGTGACGGGTTCTGTGGCCTTTGAAAACAAAGTAATAGAATGCATTGCCTTTTATTGTGGTGAAGATTTTAAAATAACATCACATTTGTACGTATTTTAACAAATTAGTGTTATGTGTTTATCAGTTGAGTTTCCCTTTGAGCGCATTATGCCCTACTTAGCACTTTATCCAATTGGCCGTCTGCCAACTGGCCCCATAAGTAATTCTAGTATATCACCTTTATGTAGAAATGAATATTGATTCTGCCCATAGCTTTGTGTAGAATGTTTTAATGTGTATAGAGTGGCAGTCTGTCAGCTCAAGGGGACATTTTGGCATTGTAAATTCTGGACAAAAACCTGGTGGTAGGCCCTATTCTAGCCACTAATCAGCCATCAATTAATCAGTAGTTGGCAGAGGAACAACATAAAGGTAACATTGAGAAGGATTGTTAAAAATAGCACACATTTTTAGGCTAACTCTCAAGCTGGATGATTGTGAAGCAGCCAGATCAGGTACCGTTTGTATATATTTGAAAGAATGCATAAATGAGTACTTCTTGGATATTTCTGGAATAATGAACAAAAATCTATTAAGAATCGTTGGCTTTAGTGAAGCCTAAAGCATTGGAAGTGAGAAGTGAAGAGTAGGGCTTATGTTTTTGAAAAAAAAAAAAAAAGATATTCAGTGGTGACTCTTCCAAATGTCTGCTTCTGGGCCAGGCTGAAACCAGGAGAAGGAAGCTCAGTCTGGCTCTCCCTGTGGGTGACAGGTGACATGCTGCCTCCCGAGGCCTGCACTAGCAGGAAGCTGGAGTGAGGAGCCAGAGGCAGTAGCAAAGCCAGGGACTCCAGTGAGGCTATGTTCATCTTCACTGGTGCCTTAATGACTAGACCACACCTGTGCTTATTTTTATACAGCAACTTTTTTTCAGCATGGGCATGCATTACATTTAATTCTGAAGAAAATAAATGCATGGTAAAGGAGTCCACAATGTATGTTCAACAGGGGAAAGACTGAATAAGTCACAGTCTATCCATAGAATGAAGTTAAAAATGGTAAGGGAACTCTTCCCTAACTAAAATGAAAAGCATAAGATGATTGAAGACAGACAAGCAGGTGCACACTCCGTGACCTCATTCTCCAGAGCTGCTGAAACGTGTGGCCTCTGATCTCCAACAAGGACATCAGCCATCATCTGGGATGATCAGAGATGCAAACTGTCAGGTCCCCCACCCCAGACCTCTTGAATCAGAACTTTGGGGAAAAGTTACAACATGGTGCTCAAGTTTGCACAGCACTGCATTTGAGGACAGTGATACACCTCCGTGTGTGTTGATGTTCATAAACGAAGGTTGGAAAAGAGTGCCACGGCTGGGCCTGGGATATGAACCATTTCTCTGTGCCTTTGATTTATCACTGTGATTGTTTATGAGAAGTATGCCTACATTTTTATTTAAAGAGGAACGATTCACTACCAGAAACTTCACCACTTAAAAACATGCAATTCAATGCTTTTTAGTATATTCATCAATTTCCAGAACATCTTCATCAACCCAGAAAGCAACTCCTTAGCAGTTGCTCTCATCTTTTTTTCCTTCCCTCCAATGAACCAGACCTTAGGAAATCACTGATTTATTCTGCATCTCCGTTCACCTTTCCTGGGCATTCACTGATAATAATGAAGCTATTTTTATTTAGGAAACAAAGCAAAATGAAAGCAAAGGGAAATGAGCTGATGACAGGAAGCTTAGATGGAAATAAAAAATGTGAATCATTCTAAAGAAAGACTTTTGGAGACAGATGTGTTTTTCTCTCTTAGCTTTGGTTGCTAATCCAAGGAGGAAACTGGTTGGGGCCATAACCATCACCATGATAGGTGTGGTTCTCTTCGATTTTGCTGCTGACTTCATCGATGGACCCATCAAAGCCTACTTATTTGATGTCTGCTCCCATCAGGACAAAGAGAGGGGCCTCCACTATCATGCCCTCTTCACAGGTACGCGGTGTTCCAGGAAGTCTCTCCTTCAGCTCCGCAGACAGGGAGACGCTCCCTGGGTCATCCTGGGTCATCCGACATCTCTGAGCAGGAATTGTTTCAATGAATGGACTCCTTGATGGGATGCTCCCATGACGTGGAGTCTACCTCCCCATGCCTTTCTCTAAACAAAGTCAGCATGTGACTGGGGTTAAAGAGTTTTAGCAAAGGAAGTTTACACAAGAGCTTTCTTAAGAACTCTTTGTAGATACATTTGCAAGTGAAATAAAAGAAACTTTGTATACTTACTTGAGTTTTAGAACAGTGGAGCATAAGGTAAAAGCTTACTGAAAATATAGATTCCTGGGCCCTCTTCCAGTTCTCCTGATTCAGATGATCTGGGGTTCAGCTTAGAAATTTGTATTTTCTTTAATCAGCAGTTCATATGATCTTGTGGCAAGGATCTTAAGAATCACATTTACAAACAGTAACAAACCAAGTAAATAAAAAATGCCAGGTTTGTGATTTCTTGGGTACACAACAAGTTGATAGTCTCTCTGTACATGCTAAACAGACAAGTGTGTTTTGGGATTCTTTTGATTCCTGGGGACTGCTGTCAGCCTTTCTTTTGGTTGCTGTTGGGTCAATCACTTAGAACAGTTCTACTTAGGGCACTGGTTGGTACTGTGCGAGGATGTGTGTTACATGACAGCAGGATCCTGACCCAGAGAAGATTGTGACATCTAGGAGAGGGACTTTATTAGCCCCCACTTTATTAGATTGTCTTCATAGTACAACTAGTATATTATTCATTTTATGTTTTGATGTGTTCTGTCTCCTTCTGTGACCGGAAAAGGAAAAATATCACTTTTGTTTAAGATTTATATCTGTGGAGTAATGAGTAATATCTGAACACATATTTTGGTGTGACTGGGTCTAAATTTCTGTCTCTCATGCAAGAAGGAATTTGAGGGTGAGATATAAATGAAGGTCAGCAGATACAAGATTTATTCATGTGCAAAGGGAAAATATACACTCAACAAAGAATGTGAGCATGCTCAAAAGAAAGCTGTACTCACCAGGGTTTGGGTCTATCTACTTATCAATGGATCCTATATAGAGGCATAAGGAGCAGTGTCTAGGGTAGCATTTAGTTGAATAAAAAGGGCAGAGTTTCAGAAGGGACTTGCATTGTATTCTTTTTTGGAAACAGAAGTATAATGGTGTCAGACGCATGATGGGAATGAATGTCATCAATTTTAATTCTATTATAGTAGCATGTCGTCATGAGGACACAACCAGAAGCCAATTGGAGATTTTTGCTGGTATCTGCTCTCAGTGGTGGTGTAATGGAGGCTAAGGCTTTCTGTGGCACTGACAGAGGTAGAGACTGGTCAGTGTATGTGGGTCTGCAGCACAGTGGAGCCATAGGGAAGACTATCACACTTCCTCCTCCCTCCCTCCCTGCCCATGTCAGGTGGAAGACATTGGGTCATTGTTGTTTGAGCAAACATGTGAATGGTGAATTTTTACTGATTTGAGAGACACAGAAAAAGAGAATCAGTGACACAGACAGAGGAGAGAGCTGCCATAACACATGAAGTAACTGGCCCATTGTCCAGTACTGGTTGTCCTAGGTTTCATTTTGTTTACCTAGTTTGTTTTCCTGATCCCAAAGTTCATTCTGTTTCATCATATTGGCTGGCAAAAGGTTATTCGGTGTCATTGGCTATTTTGATTTTTTTTTTGTTAATAGCAATGCCATTCATCCAAAATCATGGAGACTTTTTGGTTTTGGAACCTGACACATGGAAAGTTACTGCTCAAAAGATGTTAGAGCATGTGACCATGGCTTCCCAGCTTACCAATGTAAATAAAGTATGCTTTGTTGCCGCTTATATTAGAAGTAGAGAACTCTATTATTCCAGTGCCAACACATGATAGATTTCTACTAGTTTAAGGCATCCATTCATTTTGAGATTTTCCGCTGCTACTGGTACTTGTGTGGAGCCACCAGACACATAAGTTTGGCGTTTTTCTGGCTCAGGCTTTTACACACACAGAAAACGGCTGGTATTTATGTCAATTCTTACAGATTTCATGCTTTTGTGGTGAGAGTCTGTAGGTATCATTCCTATTCGGACATATTCAGTGCTATTCACTAAGTATGTAGAAGGTATCAGAATTACCCTCACATGAATCTCATAGGACACTGGAGGGATCTTTGGTCTGATTTCCTTTGGGATAAAGCAGTTGACGCAGCACTACAGGCTCTCTTGACTTGAGCTGCATCACAGTGGTGTTGAGCTTGTTAAATCAGCTATCTGATGATGCACAGAGATAATTACAGGTGTGCGGTGGCTGCAGAGTCTGAATTAGACTCTCCTTAGTTTCCTTGTTCCTTTAGATTTTTCAGGCCTAAAAGTACCCCAGTTTCCCAGTTAAAGTTGTGAATTGCAGAAAAAAACCTACACTTTTCTGTGTATTTGGATTGAGCCGTTGCTCAAATTGTAGCATGAGTTGTGACATACAACATCTGTCTGCTAAAGCCATCCGTTCTCCAGAGGCTAACTATGGTTTTGGTTTGAAAACACAGCCTAGAGCTGTGAGAAATCAGCCAGCTGGCCCAGTTGTAGGCCCTGCTTTGCAAAGACCTGTTATCTAACGCTGCAGCAGCTGTTGCTGGGATGCTCTGGCTTAGGGCTTGCCCGACAGCCTGGTGGTTGATTTCAAGGGCCTGAAAGAGAATGATCCTGGCAGCAGAGATAAATGCAGTCTGGATATAGATGGGGAAGGTGGTAAAATGATTAGCCTTTGTCCCAGCCAAAATGAGGAGACTTTGCTTAGAGACTGTCTTTGAAGATAACATCTTTAGCTTAAGCCAAGAAAGCAAAGCAATGAATTCCTATAATTCTCTACTGAAAATATAAAATAAAGCTACATGTAACTCCTTCTAGTACATAGAAGTACATAGAACTCCTTCTAGTGTTCTAATATTCTGTAAGAATAATTTCCTCTGTGGCCCACAATGGCTCCCAGGTATATCCTGTTGTGCTATTGTAATTTGTAGCCACATATCATAGTAATGTTGGGAATTAAAAAAAAATTGTTTTTGCATGTTTTCCTCTATCCATAATAGAAGAGAGTGTAGGCAATTCTGATAGTTACCTATAATCTATCGATCCGTGTCTAAGATCTCTGGCTAAAAAAGCACATAGGCATGGTTCCCAATTCCTCTGTCTTTCCACACAATCTTCCTTTCACTGCAGGCTGCGGTTCAGGGCTTACCTGGCTTAGTCTTCAAATGTCCTTCCATCTCAAATGTCTTTCCACCATCTTTGAATGAACTAAATCCAAGGACTTTAGGGGTAGAAGGAAGTATTGAACTCTAATATATTTAATTAAATGTTAAGAGGACTCCTACCATATTTGTTAACAGCCAGCCCCTTTTTCATAGCATTAACTGAGCACCAGTACTCTGTGGAGCTCTAGTGTGGTCACTGAGTACCCAGTTCATTGTTGGAGCTCGTTTATTGCAGGTTTTGGAAGGAGCTCTTCACATTTATTTATTTGCTTCTCACACTTGAAATTGTTGTCACGGGTTGGGACACAGTGTTTTTATGTTTGTACCTTCAGAAGCTGACAACGTCCTCGTCACAGATTTAGTCCTCAGTAAATACTAATGGAAGTAGAGTAAACCAGTAGACACAACGGGGTCGAGAAAGCTTTCCATCACAAACCTCAGTCATTCAAATAAATATCTATCATAAATCTTTCTTCATACTTATAACCATGCCCTTCTGCACATAGAATTAATATTACATTGCACCTGGAGGATTTATTTAACATGACAGTTCTTTCAGATGGGCAGGGAATGTGGGGGTTTTCTCTGTTACCTTGGTGGAGATGCTTGTATATTTGAAGGATAGAAATGTAAATGATAAGAGGGTTGAATGGCAAAATGGTAACCATCAATCTGTTTACAAATGATAAGTAGTTTCAAAAAAGGGAAATGTGCGTTTGTCCTAATGGTAAGTCAGGAATTCTTAACAAGAGATTTCTTTTAAATCTCTCCCATTTCCTAAGAATATTTGGGAATGTTTGGAGGCATTCTTGGTTGTCATAATGGGGATGAAGAAGAGAGGAAACCCACAGACTGTTTTGGTTGATTCCTTGGCTTGGCAATGACCTCTGACACCCTCCATATTTCTACAATCATGTAAAAAGAGAGTCAGTGTCTGCTGATCACTGTATGTGCTGCCAGTCTCAGCACGACCATCTGTGTCAGTAACAGAGTGTGGCTGTGTGAGGAATCCCCTTCCTCTCAGATCCTGGCATTGCATGTGCTGACAAATATTCCCATCACCCGTAACTAGACCACACATTCCTTTGTGACAGAGAACATACTTCTTACTTTGTTGTATTCCACTGGACATGGAAAAACTTCCCATAATTTTTCCTTGAAATACTTCATTCAGAACATGATGACAATGCTTATCTTTGGAATCCAATGATAGGACAGTTGGTCATCTATAAATAGTCTCTATGTTAAATTGCAACTAAAGTCACCATAATTGTCCATTCTTATATAATCCTGGATAAATTAGGACTCATGGTGTTTGTCACTCAGGTTTATGTCCTTGGAATCAAGTTTATATTAACTTAGGATCAGGGACAGAAATTCTTATATTCTGTTTTCTTCCTTAATTCTCTGGTAAATGAAGATGATGTTTTTACTTGAGACATAGAATGGAGACTTCACTTATAAGAAAAAAGATGACAGAAAACATAATCTGATCTGTGCTGGTAGGTAGCCCATGATAGGGAGGGCGTGATGGAGGCTGCTGAAGGCTTTTGTCTGAAGCAACAGCCTTGAGTACACTTTTGACATCTGCAGAGGATATGTGTGGCATACAACTCCTTCATCTCCTGTTTTTCATTCTAGGTTTTGGAGGTGCCCTGGGTTACCTTTTGGGTGCCATGGACTGGACCCATCTGGAACTGGGAAGAGTGCTGGGCACAGAATTCCAGGTTATGTTCTTCTTTTCTGCCTTGGTGCTCATTTTTTGTTTTATTATTCATCTATGTAGTATCTCCGAAACCCCACTTATAGATGTCACTGAAGCTCTGTCCCCTCAGCCATCCCTGCAGGGTTCTCTGCTGTCATCAGAGGGACTTTATGAGTATGGCTCTATCGAGAAAGTTAAAAATGGCTGCAGAAACCCAGAGCTGGCTGTGCAGGGACGGAAAAACAAAAACACTGCTTCACGGGTAAGTAGACATATTCTTTGTTCTTGGGAAAAACGTTTTTGTTTGTGCTCATTCTTCTTTCTTAATCTTTGTTTTGTTTATTTGTTTGATGTGAAGAGTTTTGTAAAGTCTAATTGAATCCTCAAATCCCCAGCAGCTGTTATCCCTTAGAATTAAAACTCTGGACTTCAAAGACAAATGTATGCATTATCCTCTGGTCCTCGTGTTTCTCACTCTTTTTAAAGCATCAAACCAGAAAGCCATTTCTGACAGGTTAGACCTTTAAGAATAGCCTAGAACCATTTTTGAGCCAGAACAAATATTTTTCAAGGCTAAGATTATAAATTATTGATTTGTTCTTCCACATAGCAGCATAACAAGGTTAATAGTTGAGTTAGAGATGTTGAACTTATGTGTTGAGAGTTAGTTGGATATTCTTTTTATTATGTTTTTTTGTGACTATGCAGTGAGTTCGTTAGGTTAATCTGTTATACAGGAACCGACTGAACGGCAGACAAATGGGGTCACATTCTGAGGAAGAAGAGGCTAGCATTATGCTAACCATGCAGGAGAGATTAAGCTGCTGAGGCTTTTTAAATAATAACTAATTCAACTAAAACAAAACTAGAACTTTGGTCCCTTTAGATTTCGAATGCCCCATAGCTCGAGAGGGCTGATAACTGTTGTAGAGAACTGTATGAATACGGGACTTTTCCATTGTTAAAGAACCAGCATCCATATGGGATCCCAGTGCATACAAGGCAAGGACTTTAGCCACTAGGCTATCATGCTGGGCCCAGAATTCTTTCTTAAGAAAGTTTTGTGATCCAGCATAGTGTTTCAATTGGCTAATGCTCCACCTTCAAGCATCAGGATCCCATGTGGGTGCTGGCTCATGTCCCAGCTGCTCTACTTTCCATCCGCTTTCATGCTTATTGCTTAGGAATGCATTAGAGGAAGGCACAAAGCCTTGGGACCCTGTAACCATGCAGGAAACCCAGAAGAAACTCCTGGCTTCAGATGGACTCAGTTCTGCTTTTTGCAACCACTTGGGGAGTGAACCAGCAAATAGAAGATCTTTCTCTCTGTCTCTCCTTTCTGTGCATCTGCTTTTCTAATAAGAATAAACCAATCTTTAAAAAACAGTTTTAATCATATGAAAATTTGCAAAGCAGTAGGAGGAGTCCCTGTCTATCCTTGAGCAGCTTTCTTCACATGTTAACAGCTTACCAAACTGTGCATTTGCCAAAACTAAGAAATCAACATTGGTACAAACTATTAAATTGTAGACTTTCTTGGATATCTCCAATTTTTGCACTAATGTCCTTTGTCTGTTTTAGGACCCAATCTAGGGAAACCACTTTGTGTTTAACTAACTGGCTTAAAAAATAGGGAAGCTATGCTTTTTTTAAAATGGCATTTCAAGGAAATGTTTTTGCTACTTAGTAGAGAACCTCCTACATATTTACACATTATTGTACAAACAGCAAACATTAAATCTTAGCTGTCATTATAAATGTGTTTAAGTAGTTTTGTCAAGGTGAAGAATTCCTCCACTTTTATTTGAGGTATTTATTTCCATAATATTTAGTTTTGCAAAATTAATGCCAAAGTAAACTTCAACATTGCTTGTGTTTGAATAGGCAAAATGCTTACTTAAGTGGGCTACTTTATTGTGTAGCCTTGACTGCCTGGGAGTTCAATTTCTTCAGGTGCATCCTCCCTCCCACCAGGGACCTCCGTCTTAGGATGAATGAACCATTTTCCATAGAAGTAGGCAAAGAGAAACAAAAACATCACTCCCATGAAGCCTTCACTTGATTACAGAGCAAACAGAGACACTGGGAGTGGTTAGATCATCTGAGACCTGCACTCAGCTCCTTGCCCTGCACCAAGTGGCGTGGGGCAACAGCACCTGCACCCCTGCCTCTCTTGCATTAATGAATCAGAACTCTGGAACAACTCCTTAGACCAGAAAATCCTCAGGCAGTTCTACCTGGCAGTTGGGACACTGAAAAACAGGTGTGCACGGAAGCCCAGTGATCATTAACACACGTGTGTGTGTGTGTGTGTGTGTATGTGTGTGAGAGAGAGAGAGAGAGAGAGAGAAGATCTGAGGACCAGATCAGGCACAATATCCATATGCACAAGATTATCCACATTTTTGGAAAAACTACTCACATACGGAGGAAAAAGTTAAAACAGTATGGTAAAAAGGCTTGTTGAAGTAATTTTTTTCTGAATGTTAAGCAGATTTAATTTTCTTTAAAAAAACTGAATTATAACAAACATTTCTATAATGGATATACAAAATAAATGGAAATCAGGGAAACAGTGAAAATAAAGAACAAGGAATGTTGTGGTTTATGGAATAAGACAACAGGGATCTTTAGTAGAGAGATGGCCATTACATCAATTGAGTATCTGCTTCCATGATTGCCCCGTGGGAAGAGTGGAAGTCTCCCTCAAGAAGCCATTCAGCGTGGGTTAGCTCACCTCTTCAAACACTTTTGGGAGTATTAGAGAAAAATCAACAGTGGGGAAAGCTTTTTGAAAAGCATTAATCTCTCCCTGTTAGTAAGAAAATAAATTCATCAAATGCTGTACAGTTAATTTTCACAGGACAGGTGTTTGGGATATAAAACTTAAAAATTCAAGTGCTTGCTCTACTGTACACATGAGGACTACAGTAACAGTGTGCTGTATGCTTGATATCTGCCAGGAGTCCATTTTAAGCATGGTTGCCACAATGCAGTGATAAGTATTTGATGTAATATATTTATTACCTTCATTATCCATTCCAAAACGTATATATGTCTCAAAATTTTATTTTGTACATCCTAAAGATATACAGTAAAAAATAATAAGAAAAACATCAGTAAGCCTTCTAGTATGTGTCACCTACATAGCGCTGTAGACTATAGACTAGTGGCTCTGGTACTTGATTGAAAAAGACAAAGATTAAAAACAGCAACGTATTGTAGGCTCACAGTCATTGAGCCTTGCAGTGGTGAGAGGTTTCCAGCTGAGGACTGGCATCATGTCAGGGCCAGCACCAGGGCTGCCATTGTTTGTCAAGGTTATTTCCTTCCAAAGGGAAAATGACTGTGCACTTTGAGAGCTGAGATTTTTCTTTTTCATGGTAGACATTTTCAAATTCCAAGTGGATCTATCAAATCCACCTCTAGTCCTCCCTCCTTGCCTCAATTGCTCCCTTCAAATTTGAAGTGTCCATTTGAGTGCACATTTATGAGCTTTCTTCTCTTTGGGGCCCTGGTGTCTTTTTTTCTTTTTTCCGCTCATAAATCCATCCACATCCCTTCTGCTGCTGCTGGTGGTACAAAGAATATGCAACAAAACAACTCCCAGGGGCTCAGCGTCAATGAAAAGGCCGTGCCAAAACAATTGATGAGTCAGGAACGTGGTGCCAGCTGGATTTCCTTCTGAATTAAAATAACCAATAGAACTTTGAATATTCACATCACCAGCTTTTACAGAAATACTAGGCACAATTTGAAATTGCCTATTTATTTTTGGAAGAAAAGAACAATTAGGCCACAATGAAGGAAGGTTGAAATTATGTATAAGGAAGAGGCATAAATTAATATTTCACTGAAGCTGAATGTTTGCTCACCAGATTAAGTTTCTCGGCTCTGCAGTTTGTGGAAGAGGGGAGAAAATGAAGAAAAATCGTTGAGTCTGGGCTATGGAAACCAGGCTGGTGTTGCATCGGCTATATCTTTAGCTGCTTTTATTTTGCAATTGAGGCAAAAGACGTAATTCTTAGCCACATTTGTAGTCTGTATTTTGACAGATAGCATTTTCTACTTACATAAAACTTATTTATTTCTTTCCTCAAGGGAACGTGTATACTTTTTAATAGGGATAAAGTGTACAAAATCAGTATAGTTTTGGTCAGTGGCTTCAATACTGTAATAAGACTGATCATTTTATATGACAAAGCAAAAATGGGTAAATATAATCTTCCACATGAAGCACAAAGAATCATTTTACAAAGCTGGACTACAACACCCATTGGTTCACGTGGAAGGCAGGGCTGGAAACAGAACAGATCCAGCAATTGAAACGACGAGCATGTGCATAAGCTGATTGGGGCGATGGACTGTGTCGGACCCTGTACTGGCAAACGCACATAAGAATCAGGTCTGGGATCACCTCAGATGAAGTTTCTTTGGAGATCCCTCCAACTGAACTGCTGATCTCAGAACCCCAACCATGAAGAGACTATGTTAGTCAGTGGATTCTGAATAGATTTCATCATGCTTGGAATGGTGAGATTGGCAGCAATTCAGAACTGTTGAACTATCAAAACTGCTTGAGCAGGACCCTTGGAGCATGCCCCACATCGGGGACCTGGGATGGGAGGGTGGTTGGGTGGGGCTTTTCCCTTTGTTTCTGCCCTGACCCCAGATACAGGGGAAAAATGATGATATTGGTGTGGAAACAATGGTCTTACCCACTTTCCTGTAGCCCTTGACCCTTTGTACCCTAATCAACCAAGTAAGATTATTAAAAATAAATAAATAAATAAAAGTGCCCATGCAGTTTTTTTTATAATATCCATTTTCATAAAATTCTTGAAAACTTCTCTGTGTGGGGGTTTTTAGTATAGTATATGCAAATTGTGTTATGATGTTTGCATACAGTATGGGTGTGTGGTGTGTATAATGTGTAGAGTGTGTGGTACATGTGCGTTATGTGTATTTGCTGGCTGTGGTACATGTGCATAGTATGTGATAAGTGTGCAATATATGTCTCTGTGTGTCATGTATGCTTGAACTCTATGTTGTTCTCATTTTGACTCAGTATAGGGCAGACTCACCTGTGTCAGTGGCAGGATCTGGGGTAGTAACCCAGCAACAGGCTCTTGGCCAACAGCAGGCAGCTGAGAGGTCATCTCTACTAGTTTTCTCTTGCTGCATAAAATATTACCACAAACTTGGTAGCTTGACTCAGTTCTCATTTGCTACCATATAGTTCTATGGAACAGACATCTGAGTAGGCTTCATGAACTTCACTGCTCACAGTCTGACAACGTGGAAGTCAGCAGGTTGGACAATGCTGTACTTTCATGGGAAAGTCTCACAGGAAAGAATGTTTTCTCTGAGAGCCCTCCAGTTGTGGGCTGAATCCAATTCCTGGTGATGGCAGCACTGTGGCCCTTTTTTCTTGTTGGTCGTTGGCTCACCGCTCTCATCCCCTAAAGCCTCCTCTCTGATCCTTTCCCTGGGCTACCTTCTTATCAGAAATCTTTGTGCTTTAGGGTGGAGGAAACTGTGATTCAATTAGGGTCACCCATCTAATTTCCCTTTTAGTTGGCTTAGAATTAACTGATCAGGGCCTGGCACAATAGTTCAGTGACTAAATCCTCACCTGGCAAGTGCTGGGATCACATATGAGCATTGGTTCATGTCCTGACTGTTCTGCTTCCCATCCAGCTCCCTGCTTGTGGCCTGGGAGGGTGACAGAGGATGATCCAATGCCTTGAGATCCTGCACCCATGTGGGAGACCTGGGGGATCTTTCTGGCTCCTGACTTTGGACTGGCTCAGCTGGTCATGTGGCTATTTGGGGAGTGAGCTAGAAAATGGAGGATCTATCTGTCTCTCCTTCTCCATAAATCTGATCTGCCTTTTCAATAAAAAAATAAATCTTTTTTATAAAGAAGAATTAACTGATTGGTAACCTTAATTATATCTGTAATATATTTTTTCATATAAAAATATAATCATGGAGCTAATATTAGGGGACAGAGATCATAAAAGGCATTGTGGATTTGTCTTACAATCTTTAGAAATGCAAGGATTATCATATAAATGCTGGCTTACATAAGAGTCTTTTAAAAAATATATTTATTTTTTATTGGAAAGGTAGATTTACAGAGAAGGAGAGACCAAAGGAAAGATCTTCCATCCACTAAAATGGCTGCAGTGGCCAGAGCTAAGCTGAACTGAAGCCAGGAGCCAGGAGCTTCTTCCTGGCCTCCCACTTGGGTACAGGGTCCTAAGGATTTGGGCCATCTTCCCCTGCTTTTCCAGGCCACTATCAGGGGGGTCTATGGGAAGTGGAGCAGCTGGGACATGAACTGGTACCCATATGGGATTCCAGCATTTACAAGTTGAGGATTAGCTAATTAAGTCATTGTACCAGCCGCTACATTAATTAGCCATTAAAATATATTTATTTTTATTTGAAAATAGAGAAGCAGAGAGACAGACAGAGTGAGAGAGAGCGCTCCCAACCATTGGCTCCTCAACACCCACAATGGCTAGGACTAAGTCAGGGCCAAAGCCAGGATCCAGAAAGACAATTCAGTCTGCCATGTGAGTGGCAGGAATTCTGTCCCCATTACTTGAGCTGTCATCTCTGCTGCCCACATTCATTATTGATAGGAAACTGGAGTCAGAATCCATAGCTGGGCTTTGAACCCAGGTATGTAGATATGGGACAGGTGGATCTTTTCTTTAAGAAAAAGCATTTACAACATTTTTTGCAATATATTTTTGTATATAAATGGGCTCATCCTTCTCTCTGCTTTGTTACTCCTCATTTTGCCTCCTACCATTTCCTCCCTACCACCATAGCATCACAAAAGTAGTTACTTAGTATCACATACAACTTTAACTTGCTGTGCTTGCTCTGGATCAAAATTCACACTGTTTCATGTTTTATTTCAGACTCAAAGGGCAATGACCATGAAATCACTCCTGAGAGCTTTGGTGACCATGCCTGCCCACTATCGCTATCTTTGTATCAGCCACCTCATTGGATGGACAGCCTTCTTGTCCAACATGCTCTTCTTCACAGACTTTATGGGCCAGGTAATGAGCTTGTGTGTGTTTCTTCTTTGACTCATGGGGCCATCCACAATCAGAAATTGTCAGGCTGCTTCTGGGCTGGACTTTAGGATGAGCACAGTGGGAATATAGGAAGTAACACCGTCAAGGAGTTGGTCAGATTCTAGAAGGAAGCTGCTCTACTCTGAAGAACCAGAGGGCACTGTAGGATCTACTAGTACTCAACAAAATACAACAGGGGAAGTTGGTGCTAACTGTTTGAATTATAGCAGGATCTATAAAAGTGGTATAGTATGGACCTTGAATGGTGGCTAGGAGTTAGAGAGATTCATGACAAGTCTTCAAATATTTAGTGGAAAATGTATGCAAATTTTTTTTTGCAGCAAGGTAGACTTATCTTTTAATTTCATTTTTTTCGTGAACCGTTTGAGTGGAGAAAGAAAACATTCCAAGCAGGGGTAGGAATTCATGTGTAGAGATGAGCTGGAGCCTGGTATTGTACTGGGAAATAAGGGTCTGCATCAGTCAGGCAGGGCTACATGGAATTGTATCCAAGACCTAGAGGAATTGTGTTTAAGCATGACAGAGTAGACTTCAGACTTCCAAGGAACTAGAATGTCTAAGCTTAAGGAGTTGTCTTAGCATGTAAGTGTGATAGGATGAATGGGGTGAATTGATTGTGCCACAATGAACTCTGTGCCCTGGGAGTGGCTCCTTGGGCAGGTACACATTACTCCCCACAGTGCCCAAGGAGGGGTCCCTACCACGTGCTGTCTGTAGCTCAACATCCCAATCCCTGTCTTTCAGATTGTGTTCCAAGGGGATCCCTATAGCCCGCACAACTCCACAGAATTTCTCACCTATGAAAGAGGGGTTGAGATTGGATGTTGGGGCCTGTGCATCAACTCCATATCTTCCTCACTTTATTCTTGTAAGTCTTGCTCCCCAAAGAGGGTCTTCTAAAAAATGCTTATCTAGACAAACTTAAATTTTAAGAGTCTATACTTATTTTCTGCTCTTCAAAAAGCCACATTCATAATGAATATATGGAGATTGGAAAACTTGAGAAAAGACCATAAAAGTATGCTTTTATATGGTGAATACTACATGCCAATTTCTTTTGTATTTGGCATCAGCAGGTTCTTGATTCATGGTTCTTTGGAAAACAGAAAGATTCATATATATATGTGTATTTTTTAAGCTGGTGAGGTATTGGGATGGGCAAGGGATCGAATGCCAGCAGGCCCATGATCTACTGGGGCAAGGCTGTGGGAGACACTCAGATGCACCCATCAAAATCAACATGCAGAATGATCTGAGCACAAATGCCCAGAGTGGTAACCGAGAATGCTTCCATCTGCTGGTTCACTCCTCGAATGCCCTCAACAGCCAGGACCAAACCAGACTAATGCCACAAGCCAAGTACTGCAAGTGTGTCTACCACTTGGGTGGCAAGAAACCCATCATCTTTCATTTCCTAAGTGCATTAGGAGGGAACTGAATTGAAAGCCTAGAGTAGCTGGGACTCAAACCAGGCATCTTGACACAGGCATAGAATACTAGTGTCTGAATGGTGGCTTAACCACCTGCTCCGTGGGGTCTATCTTAGCTTGCATTTCTTAACAAACCTTTTATTTCTCTTTAGAATGTATGAACTAAGAAAATCCCAGGAGGGGGATTTCAAATATTTAGAAACAGAGTGTTAGCACAAAATGGCCTAACCAATTATCTAAATTTTCTTGTGATCCTAAAGACTAGAAAGGACTATTTACTACTATCCTCATCTTGTAGGAAAAACACTTTTCTCCACATGTAACGAGGTAAAATCGGTCATCTCCCTCCAACCCTAAAGAGAGGCACTGTGTGAGGATATGACTGTCACAGAGTATCAGGTCCATGGACAGGCAAGACTGACCCTGAAATTCACTGATTTTCCTTCGTGAATAAAGCCTTCTTTTTCAGCCTGTCAGTCTTTGTTCAAACATTGCTTGTGTTTCCAAATATCTCTTTTGCTTTCTTTGTCTTTCCCCCCACTAGCCTACACACTTGCATAAAAGCATTTACCCAGTGAAGAGTGAAGCTGCCTTTCAGGTGCCGAGACACCTTGCATTGCATTTGCTGCATGAATATAAGCATCTCACAAGCAGAAAGTGACCCTCCAGGTGTGGTTGAATTTAATAGAGGATACAAGGTTGTCCCTTTGTCACTTTCAGAGCCTTGTGTTTGTAACTGCTAGTGACAGTGTGTTACTTCAGAATTGATTCAGGTGTAACACATATTAAGTTTCTTATCTGTGCAATACTAAACCCAAAAATTATTTGACTATATATAGAAAGTCTCCTTCTTGAATAGGTACACTTGCATTTACCTCTGGTTTGAGTAGTCCAGTAGACATTGGGATGGGTAATTTCTCTGACATTCATTCTCATTCAACCCTGACACCAACCCCAGAGGAAAGTTTTATTGTTCACATGTTTGAGATGATGCCATGGTGAGAGGTTAAGGTACTTGTCCATCAACAGTGGATAGGCACCAGGTGCCGTGAAGGCCACTTCCCAGCCAGAGAAAGGCTGGCAAACCAGGGAGAGCATCTATAGATAATGGTGTATCCATTACTTCTCTTTTGAGTGAGAGGTGGGGGCTAAGATATTGTGAACAACTTGGAGCATTCTGCAAAATCTGTCTACTGTGATTTTTGTTTGCTCTAACATGATGTTAAAGAATTGGGCCAAAGTTTTTGGTCCTGTCAGACCTCTCTATTTAGAATGTCCCACACTTTTCTGCCATGCCTTGTAGCCCCAGTTTCTGGTAGTCAAGGTGAGCTTCCCCCACCCCACCCCTTGTTTCACATCCTTTTGCTGTTCTGCTCCCTGCTAAACCCAACCCGCCCTCCATTGTGGAAAAGAAAATCAGCCTAGCAAGGCATTTTCAAGCTGTCCTTTCTTGCAAGGGATTTGAAACTGATTTCCAAGCCAGCTGTTTTTAACTGCAGATGAAGAGGTTCTTTTGTTCCTAACTCACTATCAAAAGAAGTCTCCTAAAAGAAAGTGAATCTTTGAAAGAAAGGGTTGTCTGATATTGCTGAGTGCTTTGAGGTGCTGTCAGCTGTAATGTCTTCCTCTCTTCTCCCCACAGACTTTCAGAAGGCCTTGGTATCCTACATCGGATTAAAGGGTCTTTACTTCATGGGGTATTTTCTCTTTGGCCTGGGAACAGGATTCATTGGACTCTTCCCGAATGTCTACTCTACCCTGGTCCTGTGTGCCTTGTTTGGCGTCATGTCCAGCACGCTGTACACCGTGCCATTTAACCTCATTGCTGAATATCACCGTGAGGAGGAGGAAGAGGTGGGTCACCATTGTTGAACCTCTGATACGGGTTACCTTGAGCCTCACCTTCAGGCTGGAGTGGGGGATGTAATGAGAAAGTTCAGAACAGAGCTGGAAAATGATGGTCCTTGAATGAGCAGTACTCAGCTTGCCAGCCAGCCATAGCTAGTTCTGATGCAAGCATGAGCATCAGCCTTGCTGTCTCCTTGCAGTGGTACCCTGTATGCCTGAGAAGCTGTGGGACAAAGAGCATCACTCACAGTTATGCAGTTAGGAACTGGGGGACTTGGTAATGCTGAGTCCCAAGCACCACCACACAGAGACACAAAGGATGGTTCTTCTTCATCCACCCCACACATTTCACAGTGCACCTTTAGCATTACTGCATGCCTACAGTGGAGAACTAAACTTCCTCCTGCAGAGTGGAATCTCTGGGCATTAGGAATCATAAGCAGTATTGTTTGAGGGGGAGTCCAGGCTTTAGTAAACATGCAGGGAGGGAAGTTGGTGCCATTAGTGGTCATTCCGCCTGACAATGCAGCCCCCAAGGGGATGTGTCCCTCTTAAACCTAGGAACTTGGACTAGAGAGCAGTTTGCGGTGTAATCCTTGAAAGAATAAGAAATTGAACAATTCTGCTCTAAAATTAATACCTCTTATCAGATGTGCAACTTTCTCTGCTTCTTTACTGTGGTAGCAGAAAAAAAATAATCTCAGCTTGAAATTGCAAAAACACTGAACACGTGTCCATGTGACTATAATTCCCACCTCCCTTCCCATCGTTTGATTTGGCAAACACAGCAGGACAGAGCTATGATGGGAGATAAATCCTTTCAAACAGGGATGTAGGCTGTCTTCCACCACAGGCCATGTTGCAGTACTCCACAAGGATTTGGCTGTTAAGGAGAGAGTTACTGCAAAGAGTCCCTCCCAATAGAGATTTCCACATCAGGAAGGCAGAAATGCAAGAATTTTGGACTCAGAGAAACATGGATTTAATTTCTGCCTCCTTCACTTCAAAACGATGTGACACTGAGGAAGTTACTAATTTATTAAATAACACTTATAAAAAGCTCATTTTAGTTGTTTTAAAATATTAGGAAGTACCATTTTGTTTGAAAGAGGAACACACATGTGTGCATACATGTATACACAAATACACATCTTCTATTCACTGGTTCACTCCCCAAATGTCTCAGCAGCTGGGGCTGGGCAGGACAAAAGCCAAGAGCCTGGAATTCAGTCTAAGTCTTCCACATGGGTGGCAGAGACACAAGTCCTTCACCTGTCACTAGATGCCTCTCATGACCTGCATTAGCAGGAAACCACATTGGAAACAAAACTAGAATATTCACTAGGCACTAGGCTATAGGGTGCAAGTGTCCATGTCATAACAGCTGCATCAAATACCTGTCCCAAGGGTTCAGTTCTAGGTTAGCTATTATTCCCATGGTTCAGCCATCTCAAGGATGCATGGAAGTATATCCTGAAGTGGCTGCTTCCATATTTTCCTAACTGATGCCAGCCCTGATCTGTTACACTGTTTTGTTTAGCTTTTAAGTTTTTCTTTAAAAAATTTTTATTTTTATTGGAAAGGCAGATTTATGGAGAGAAGGAGAGACAGAAAGATCTTCCATCTGCTGATTCACTCCCCAAATGACCACAATGGCTGGAGCTGAGCTATTCTGAAGCCAGGAGCCTCTTTCAGGTCTCCCATGCAGGTGCACAGTCCTAAGGCTTTGGGCCATCCTCTGCTGCATTCCCAGGCCATAAGCAGGGAGTTGATGGGACGTGGAGCAGCCGGGATACAAACTGGCATTCACATGGGATGCTGGTGCTTGTTGATTGAGGATTAACCAATTGAACATTGCATTAGCCCCCTAGCTTTCATATTTTTAAGTGAAAAATCAAACAAATGTAAATCTGTTTAAAGTAATAACATGCATTTTCGGTACAATGCTTCACCACCCCCACCCCCCCCCAAACACCACTAAGGGAAATTCTTCAAACTCAAAGACTCAAGTTTCTTTACCAGCCATATGGGAATAATAAAATTCACCTTATAGGGTTGTTGAACATTAAACAAGATAGTATATATAATGTCCTTAACAAAGGGCCTATCCTGCACTTGACAAAGACTAAAAAACAGTGCTTACTGTTAGTTATTATTATTATCACATGGGTAATGATAGTGTGTGCATCTAGGGAGGTGATAAGGGTGAGATCAAGTGATGTTTGTGGAAGAAGTTTGCACAGGTTTAGTACAGCCAAGGGCCTCCTGGGCAGATGCAGCCTGTCACCTGTTTTTGTGTTGTGCAGGAGATAGGAATTTCCTTTTACATTTTTTAAGTGACTGCAATACAGTCAAATCAAAAGGAGGACAATATTTACTGCCATGTGAAAATGACGTGAGATAGATCGAATGCCAGTGACCCTAAAATGATGTTGGAGCTCCATTTGGTTACCTGTGGTAGCTGTTTCTGTGCTGCAGCAGTGTGGAGTAGTTAGAAGAACCCACAAAGCTCTTCACACAGTTTGCCAACCTGTGCCCTAAGCAACAGCTCCTTGAACACCAACTGCTGTTCCTGTGCTTCTCTTGCAGAGGCACCAGCTGGCCCCCGGAGGGGGCCTGGACAGCAGCGGGCGAGGGAAGGGCGTGGACTGTGCCGCCCTCACCTGCATGGTGCAGCTGGCTCAGATCCTGGTTGGAGGCGGCCTGGGTTTTCTGGTCAACACGGCGGGCAGCGTCATCGTCGTGGTGATCACAGCGTCTGCGGTGGCATTGATCGGCTGTTGCTTTGTGGCTCTCTTTGTTAGATATGTGAATTAGGTCAATAAAGAGACATTGTTCCTAACCTCAGACAGGTGACACGCACAGCAGAACATCCGTCTTTGCTGAAGTTTTGTGCCCTTGGGGTCTGCTTGTTGTGAGTTTAACTGTGGTAATTGGCACCTAGACCAGTCAGTCCCCTGCACATCTGTCCCTGTATTTTGGGCATCTTCACCTAGGCTGTGCCTCCATGCCCTGGTGGCAGTGGGGATGTGTGGGTGGTGGCAGCCACCAGCACCCTCCTTCCTGCCTCTCAGTGTGCTGCTGGGAGAGACGGGATGAAATTCTAGAAGCAAACTAATTGCACATGACCTCACTTGTACCAGATGCTTGGGTCTGTTTTTATTGAATGATTTTTTTGTTGTTGTTGGGGAGTCCTGTTTCATCAAATACCCAAATACTGTGCTGATGATTTTGTGGGATTACTTTATTCATATTTAATTTGCTCATCATTAGTTCCTATTAATTTATGATGCTCCTGGTAAATCTGCCCAAGCCTCTCAAGCTGGAGGATTTGCCACTTTCTGGCAGCTCATCTCACTGACACGGTGACAACAGTCCTTTCTAGTCGTTCCTTCTTCCTCCGCTGGAGCTGATTATGAAGTCTTTCACAAAACAGCCTCTGGTTTTTCCTATGATCTTGTCTTCTCCAAGCTAAGCAGTTCTTCCCCAACCACCCCTCTTCGATTGCTCTTCCTAGGAGGGGAGGCAGAGGAGATGTTCAGCAACCTCCAGAGACACAGCAAGATTGATACAAGGATCACACGCATTGACATCAGGCTGGTTTCGAATCCTGGCTTCGCTGCTCAGCAGCAAATCAACTTCCTTGAACTGCACAAACCTGCACATTAGGAAAACTGTTCCTGAGTTCTGATGATGAATGAAACTGCTTACCCCTATTCTAAATAGTTTAGCTGCATCCACTTAGTAACCTGGGGAGCCAGTGCATTCACTTGTGATCCACTTTGTGGATGAGGAAACTGAGGCAGAGGGTTAAATAACTCATCCAAAGTAATCCAGTTGGTTGGTGGCAGAGCTCAGCTTTGCGCCCAGGTGCCTTGTGCTTGCTGTACCAGTGGCACTGGCCCAGGCTGGCACTGGTCAATGCTCACTGAGTGACAGCCAGTGATCGTGACTACTGCTAATGGCTCAAGCTCCTGTTGCCCATGCGGAGGTCTTCTCTGGCATTTTGTTAAGTTTTTGTTTACATAGCATCCAGTGAGCCCAGCTAGTGCAGAACTGAGATTTTGCCCATCCTTATTTAGGAATTAGAATAAGGAAGTTCTTTCTCAGACTTTATCTCAGGGTCTGGCCATGCACTCATGGATTACTTCCATTGAATTTCTAGCCACTCGCAATCTTTAGCGGCTGGGAAGGAATTGGAAAAAAGAAACAAGCTACCTTTGGGATGTTGTTTTAGTCTCAGGCAAGCCTCTTTCAATGTCAAGGTCTTCCTCCCTTCCCAGAGTTGTGAGTGGTCTCCAAAGGCTGGTCAGCTCATTCTCTTCCTCCTCTTACAGCTTGGGCTTAAACCTTGCTGCTGCAGTTCTCCCAACTGCTTTCTTCTTGATTAAAAAGACTGCTGTCTTCTATCACCTAGTTATCATACCAGCTACTGTGGCAGGGTTAGGGATGTGGGGTGGGACACCTGGGACGTCCCTACAGACCTGTGTGGTTGGGAGGCAGGAGATGGGAGGATGAAGAGAAGGCAGAGGGTTATGATGGAGGGCACGGGGCACCAGGTGTCCAGGCTCCTGCAGTTAGTGCCATTCTTTCCAGCTCGCTGGTGCTGTCCACACCTGGCTGCTCTGTCCTCTCAGACCTGAGTGTGCTACTCTTTTGTGTATCAACCCTCAAGCTTTATTCTCTGCTCTCCAGACCAGCACCTGGCAGGCCCTGTCTCCTATTTCTATTAGTACCTCATTAATAAATAAAACCAGCTGGTTGTTTATAGGGTGCATGTGTAAAACTACTCTCTGTCTTCCCCATTCCATTCTTTCCACTGTCTTCTCCTCATCTTTCTGCCCCATCATCCATCCTGGGGAAAGTAAGTCATGACCAAGCCTCTTGAGAAGCAATCAGGGGAAACCACTGCTCCCAGTGCTATAGTGTGAGGCACTGAGGGTTACATAATCCAAGGATCCCATGTCATGTATTCCCACAATTATGAAAGAAACAGTAGCAAACCTCCTTTCTTGCTTCCCCTGCCTCTGCTTGGCCTTTGTAAAGTTCAGAAATGACACAGATTCAGGCTGATTTCCTGTTTCTCAAAAGACCAATGTAGTATTAAAAGATTTAGAAATGCCTTCCATAGGGAGCTGAGAAGTTGGTCCATATTACTTTGTTTCCCAAGAGTTAACGCCAGTGATCCCCAACTCATGACAGGGCATCATCTGGGTTGCAAATGAGACTTCTTCAAGATGGAGCATCAGATGGGCTCCTGAGCTGAGGAAGAGAGCTGTAACAGGTATTCTCTCTCTCTCTCTCTCTCTCTCTCTGTGTATCTACCCCTTCCCCCCACATAAATATGCACGTTCAAATATTATGTGCAAATACTTTACTCATTGAACTCAAGTCCACTGAGGTTTGACTCAATGAGTAGAATCCAATTTTAAAGCCTTTTGTGAAGCTTTGGGAACTAAAGTGTTTTTTCCCAGTACACTAACAACATGTTCTCTGGAAAAACAAGTGCTGCTTGCAAACAAAACAAATTCAGAAACGTGAATATTTTCAAAAGAAATCACAGGAAATGATGAAGGAGTAAGGGAAGCCAGAACTTTGCTTCCTGCCTCCCTAGTCAAACCTCTGATCTTCCAAACACCAGGCTGTTGATCAGACCATCTCCTTGGCCTCAAACATCTTCCGGACCTCCTTACTACCTTGTTGTTCTGCCTAGACTGCACCCACACTTCTGGACCCATCTCAGGTAACACTGTTGACCAGGAAGTCTCAGTGTCCCTTGGTAAGAGTCAGTCTTTCTTCCCCTGTCTTCCCTCTGAGCTTCCTTTTAACCTTCCTTTGGTGTTCTGTGTGCTGTTCCTTGTATGATCCTGATTGTGTCCATGGCTGCCTGTCCTTCTGTGTGTTAAAGTCCAGAATGTACCTGGATTATGCTGCTGATCTCAACACCCAGCACAGGGTTTGGCAGACAAGGGGTGTGGGTGAAAGCTATTGGCTGATTTCAACTGAATCAACCATTTCCTTTGGGACCCTTTGTCCTTGTGGAGGACAGAGATCATGGTCATGGATCCTGCCTGTCAACCTCCCAGAAGCTTTCTACTTTGGATTCGGGCAAGGCAGTGCTTTCTGCAGTGTGGGTGTGTTGTGGAGAGCTCAGCTCCAGTCCCTTGTCTTTTTCCAGTACCCCTAGTAGTGTAGTGCACATTCCACCCACTTTCAGAGTTCTGATATACCCACACGTACACTTACTGTCCAAAGCAAAGTAGCAAGTTGCCAAAACAAGAGTCTTTCAGTAAGGCCATTCCAGTAGTGGTTCTTTCCAGGGTTCACTCATTTGTTTTGTAATTTTTGGATGCTTCCCTCCTTCTTATCCCAGTTCCTCTTCACTATCAATGAATCTCCTCCCCAAGGAATGATTGATTTGATTACTGGAAAACACAAGAATTATTTTGCTTCCTAGAACAACTAGCTTCTCACAACTGCTCAGGAGTGAATCTGGGCCCTTTACGTTTTGTTGTGGAGAGGGATAACTGTTTATTCATTTCACTGTGTTGTGTGACAGAAAGCAGGACAAGCCATTAGAGCCTTACGTAGAAAACACTGCAGGGAGTCTTCAACAAAGTTACTCAACAATTCTACAGCTCAAGAGGTATTCAAAGACATGCATTTTCTAATAATTATTTATTGTATTAAAATAACCACATCATTGCCCGTATTATGATTTCTTTATCCCAAACCAAATAGTCAACGAGAACAGTGGTTCTCTGATGAAAGCATCCAGGTGGGTGGGGGCATTGAATCTGAGCCTGGTTCTCAGAGAAACCTCAGAGAAGGATCTTGTGAGGAGCTGGGGGATATTCAAAGGCTGTCACTAAAATGGAATTGTTAGAAACTTGAGTCATTCTATAGATAGCAAGGGAAACTACAAGTTAGGAATTCATCACAAATGCTCAATGTGCAAAGCATTAATGGAAGGGGTTAAGGTAGTGTCCTATGAAAAGTCTCTTTCCATATCATCTTGGTAATAGTTTCAGCAGCAGACAACCCATTCCTGATATTCTAGAAAAGGTTCTTCAAAGGGCATCTTCATGCCCCTATTCCTTTTCAGGGCAGGTTTTACCTGGCTCCCCTTCTCTTTCTCACCCTACACCTTCTCTTGAAAGAGCAGACTTCAGTCCCGAGGATTTGTTTTGCCAGAGCCAGGGGAACATCCTTACAGTCTTTCTTGAGCCCTGTAACTTCTTTGGGCGACTGCCTCAGTCCAAAGGGAATCCGAGTTCTGAGTTCTGGTGGAGGGAAAGGAAAGGGCCGGCCTAGGGGAGCGCCCGCCCTGACACGGAGCTCTGATAGGAATTTCAGGTCCCACTCACCTGCAGCTGGCTGACCCTAACTGGCAGCGTCTCTCCCAGGAGCCCAAGAGGCTCGCAAGGGAAATGAAGCCCCTGGGCTTCCAGCGCACCTGGAGCTCCACTTCCTGCTCAGTTCCCAAGCTAGCAAGTGAGAGCACTTTTTCCTTTAGACACAGTGTCCTAAAGAAGTGTCACTCCTCAGTCCCACTTAATCACCGAGTCAGCTTTCTCCTGGCCACGCTACTCAACACTCACTCTCCCTTGCTGATGACAGATGTTCTCCCTGCTGACTTCAGAGCTCAGAGCGGTGCATGCCGCTCGCCTGGTCGCCTGGTCCAGTGGATCCATGCTACATGGCCTGGAGGGAGGTGCCACCTCCTCTGGCTGAAATGCAGAGGAAAAGATCCGAGGCTGGTGCCGCCCCTCGCTGGAGGCAGGTTGCGGAGTCCCTGTCAAAGACTTTTTAGAAGTCTTTGGGATAAAGGTGCTTCATCGCAGGGTGTAGCTGAAACCCATTCTCTTGAACTCGTGCTTTTCTACACTCTGGTGCCTCTTCCTTTGTGGGAGCCCCCACACGGCTTAGCGGGGATGGGAGATGGGGAATCGGAGACAGATTGCCAGCTCCCATGGCTAATCTGCATCTCTGCCAGCTTCTTTTTGGTCCCAGATTCCGCAGGCTTCCCTCTCAGAGATGGTTCTCAGAGACTTTTCACAGGCTGCTCCTCCACCCTTTCCCATGCCCTTCCCTCTCTGGGTCTTGAATTCCGCTCTGTGCCTTCCCATCTTGGAAAAGGCCCTTTGTCGGATTGCACGTCCCAGGCCTCAACAGGCCAGCATCAACAGGTGGAGTTGTTAGGCAGAAGATCGTAGTGTCCTCCACTGTAGACCACCACGCCAGGTGGGTAGTAGAGCAGGTCAGGCTCTGCCGCTGCGTGGACGGGCGCAAGGGCCTGCAGCCCGTGGTCTTCGGGCTCTGGCTTGGTGGTGGCAGTGAAGGGGCGCATGCTGGTGAGTGAGGGCGAGGCGATGCGCCACAGCAGGTTCTTGAGTGCCTTGCGGAACTCACGGCGCACCAGACAGTAGAGGATGGGGTTGAGGCAGCTGTTGGAGTGCGCCAGGCACACGCTCACCGGGAACGCGTACACCTGGCACAGGAAGTACTCCTGGCTGAAGGGCACTGCGTTAAACTTGATGAGGATGCTCCAGGTGGTTAGCGCCTGGTTGGGTAGCCAACAGAGGAAGAAGGATAGGACCACAATGGTCACCGACTTGGTGACCTTGGCGCGTCGACGAGCGCTGGCTCCCGTCAGGCCTCCTGCCCCTGTAGCCCCCTCGGTCCCCACCACACGGCGGTCGGAGATGAAGCGCACCAGTAGCAGGTAGCACAGGCTGATGACACCCAGAGGCAGCAAGAAGCCCAGCAACACCTTCTGCAAGTGGTACAGGCCCAGCCAGAACTGCCGGTCGCCGCCCAGCAACCTGTCCGGGAAGCGGACCAGGCACAGCTCATCGCCCATCACTTTGATCGTGGTGGAGAAGACGGCATTGGGCAGCGAGGCCAGCGCGGCCAAGGCCCAGATCAACACGCACAGAGCCTTGGCTGAGAAGCAGTAGCTCTTCCCCAAGCGGTCGCCCCAGCAGTCTCCCTGGCTGTGCCCTCGGGTCCGGTGGCTCTTTAGAGCCGAGGCCACCGAGTGGTAGCGCGCCACGCTCATGGCGGTAAGAAAGAAGACGCTGGCGTACATGTTCACGGATGTCACGACTGACACGATTTTACACATGGCGTTGCCGAAGGGCCACCTGAAGTCTAGCGCGTTCTCCACGGCCCAGAAGGGCAAAGTGAGCACGAACTGGAAGTCTGTGAGCGCCAGGTTGGTGACAAAGAGGTTGATGGAGGACTTGCGCCAGCCCTGTTTGCTCTTCATCAGGTAGAGCACCAGCAGGTTGCCCGCCAGCCCCATCGCGCAGACCACCCAGTACACGGCGCTGATCAGGATGCGCACCCGCGCTTCGGTGTCCGCGCTCTCCGCCGCCACACTGCTCGGGGGCGCGCCGTCTGGCAGCTCCAGCCCTAGCTCCCACCACAAGTCCTGTAGCTGTAGCGATCCGTTGCTACTGGAGTTGGCCACTTCCAGAAGGTCCGGGACCAGCCCTAAGAATCCTGCGAGCTCGTCCCCGCTGGCCTCAGCCTTCTTCGTGGTGGCCATTGTGGCTGCTGCAGCTACTTGCGCAGGTGCCTCTAGGTCATGGTGTGGGGAGAGGGGCGAGATAGAAGCGAGCAAGGCGGGTTGCGATGTCGTAGCCTGGGGCGCGCACCGGAGCTTTCAAAGCAGCCGCTGAAGACAGCGCCTGAAAGTGGGTGCGGAGGGGTGCGCTGGGGGCCTGCCCAGGAGTTGAACTCAGCTGCTGCTCTGGAGAGAGGTGAGGGAGCAGAGGCATGCCACTCATAAGGCAAGCAAGCTGTCCTAGTCCCTGGCTTCCCGGGCGAAGGGCATAATCTCGGGGTCCGACCCGCACGCCCCTGACTTCCTCCCTCTGTTCCCGGCTGTACCCTGGGCACTGCCGCCTAACTCACCCGACAACCCGGGAGCGCAGTTCGGGTCCCGCGCCTGCCCTTTCCAATACCTTTGTCGGGCTTTCTCTGTTGTTGCTGCTGTCCTTTGAGAGAAGAAGCAGAGATCGAGGTGTTCCAGCTACCCAGCTTTGGCTGGCTGGAGGTCTTCGCCTGTCTGGCTCTCTCCAGCTATTGCCAACTCTGGGTTAGTTGCCGCAAACCGACGTTTCCCGGAGTTACAGCAGCGCTCGCAGACCCGTGGAGCATGCGTAGCCCCTGCGGGGCGTCACGGGCGCTTTCCGAGGTGCTGAATGCGCCCGCCGAGGAGCGGGGGACATGGGAAGGCGGGGCAACAGGCAGACCACGCAACTCCTCTTTTGCTTTCCAAAGTTTCAGAAGGAAATGGTCGTAAACCTTCATGGTCCTGTATTGCAGGAGAAAGCCTATTGTAATGTGAGTTCTCATCCCGTATTCCCAAACGTTACAACTAGAATCATCCCATCCTCCTCATTCCTGTGCGTTTATTGAAGTGGTCCTAGCCACTTGGCTTATTTACAGCGATGCTCGTGGTCGCTTGTCATTTCTAACTCAGACGATGGGTCCTAATGAAACATGCAACGTCAAGTTCTTTGGCCTCTTTAACAGCCTGACCGCTTATCCCACCTCTGAGGTATTCAGGGATTTCCGAGGGTCTCCATAAAGCACAGCTGTGGATCAAGTGTTGGGTGGTTGTGTTGTTCCTACTTTCGTCTTCAGAGAAGTGAAGCTAAACAGAGCCCATAACAGGTGAGCCTGTTTCCCCTGCCCAGTCCTCATCCAAAATCCTCCAGTGATAATCCTGCAGGTCAGATAAACCCACTCTGTGTCTTTCCCTGGAGCTAGATGGAATAGAGAAGACCTTGGGGGGGGGTGGCTTTGGACATAGCCCTCCCTCCAGTTAGCCTTGTTATCATAACCAGGATTCTCTACGACTGGTTTTCCCAAACAACTGGGATTCTAGGGAATCTTCTTTTTTCTTTTGGGCAAAAGAAACAGTGCAAATTGACTTACTTCTAAGTTTTCAATTCCAAGCCATTTTTTTTTCTGGTTATTTGTGCTTTTAAAGAATTTTGAACTTGGTCCCACATTGAACTCGAATTGAAAGAGGCGAATCTGGTCTCAAAACGGAGGGTCATGATCCAAAGGAACCAGAGCAGTTGAGGAAACTGTTTATTGATGGTCTGAGCTTCGAAACTACAGATGATAGTTTGAGAGAACATTTTGAGAAATGGGACACACAGACAGATTGTGTGGTAATGAGAGACCCCCAGACAAAACCTTCCAGGGGGTTTGGTTTTGTGACTCACTCTTGTGTTGAAGGGGTGGATGCAGCAATGTGTGCTCGACCACACAAGGTTGATGGGCGTGTTGTGGAACCAAAGAGAGCTGTTTCTAGAGAGGATTCGGTAAAGCCTGGTGCCCATCTAACAGTGAAGAAAACTTTTGTTGGTGGTATTAAAGAAGATACAGAGGAATATAATTTGAGAGACTACTTTGAAAAGTATGGCAAGATTGAAACCATAGAAGTTATGGAAGACAGGCAGAGTGGTAAAAAAAAAGAGGATTTGCTTTTGTAACTTTTGATGATCATGATACAGTTGATAAACTTGTTGTTCCAAAATACCACAGTATTAATGGGCATGGTTGTGAAGTGAAAAGAGCCCTTTCTAAACAAAAGGTGCAGTCTGCTGCTGGATCACTGAGAGGCCGTGGAGGTGGATCTGTCAACTTTATGGGTCGTGGAGGAAACTTTCGAGGTGGTGGAGGTAATTTTGGCCGTGGAGGAAACTTTGGTGGAAGAGGAGGTTATGGTGGTGGTGGTGGTGGTGGTGGCAGCAGAGGAAGTTATGGAGGAGGTGATGGTGGCAACTATGGTGGTGGTCCTGGTTACAGTAGCAGGGGAGGCTATGGTGGTGGTGGACCAGGATATGGAAACCAAGGTGGTGGATGTGGTGGTGGAGGAGGATATGATGGTTACAATGAAGGAGGAAATTTTGGAGGCAACTATGGTGGTGGTGGAAACTACAATGATTTTGGAAATTATAATGGACAACAGCAATCAAATTATGGGCCCATGAAAGGGGACAGTTTTGGTGGGAGAAGCTCAGGCAGTCCCTATGGTGGTGGTAATGGATCTGGTGGTGAAAATGGTGGATATGGTAGCAGAAGGTTTTAAAAACAGCAGAAAAGGGCTACAGTTCTTAGCAGGAGAGAGAGCAAGGAGTTGTCAGGAAAGCTGCAGGTTACTTTGAGACAGTCATCCCAAATGCATTAGAGGAACTGTAAAAATCTGCCACAGGAGGAACGATGATCCATAGTCAGAAAAGTTACTGCAGCTTAAACAGGAAACCCTTCTTGTTCAGAACTGTCATAGCCACAGTTTGCAAAAAGTGCAGCTATTGATTAATGCAATGTGGTGTCTATTAGATGTACATTCCTGAGGTCTTTTATCTGTTGTAGCTTTGTCTTTTCTTTTTCTTTTCATTACATCAGGTATATTGTCCTGTAAATTGTGGTAGTGGTACCAGGAATAAAAAATTAAAGAATTTTCAACTTTTCAAAAAAAATGAACTTAGGAAATTTAATTGTTTTCCTCACTGCTTGGGGCCAAGCAGAAACAGAAGTATCTTAATCCTATGGCAATTGTCCTCCCTCCTAGGGTAATGTGGGACTCTGGGATTTATTCATGGAGATGAAGTGGATGTGAATTTATATTAATGCATAAAAATACAGTTAGTAGCAAAGAAACCAAGTGACCCCCAAAAGGGAACCAGAAGCACACTTGATCCCCAAGCCAGAATACAGGAAGGAAGAGAACCTAGCTAAAGAACGCGTGTTAGATTACTCTATACTCTCACTAGAGGGCGCCAGGGACTTGAACAAAAACAAACGCAAGCTGCACCGCATCCCTTGATCATTATCTGGAGGCTTCACCCCAGCCCAGAGACATCTGAGAACACTGTCTTCCCTGTCTCAGCAGCCCGGCCTTCCCATTTGCTGCCCACTTTGCCTTTTTTGCTGCGAATTCTCTTAAAAAAAAAAAAAACCTGTGGTTTGTAATGTTCCCGAGGGGTTATAGAAAAACAAAGACACCTAGGGAGCTGCCATTTAGCCTAAAGGTTGAGAACTGAATTTGATGTCTGGCTCCGGTTTCTGTTTCCCACTTGCAGCAAATGTAACCCTTGGGGGGGCGCAGTGACATCTCAACTAGTTGAGTCCCTGCCAGCCACAGAAAGGCCTGAATTACATTGAGTGACTTGATGCACACTCCTGTGGAGGGAACTAGTGGACCGAAGGTGCTTCTTTCTCTCAAGGAGACAAAATAAGAACCAGGAAGCTCAGACATGATGTGAAAGCCCCCTGTCACTAAGTTTCTAGTTAGTATGTTCATACTAATGGCCCTCACCGTCCACATAGACAACTTTTTGTCTAGGAGCTTCCAGCTAGGATCGTATGAAGGATTTTCAAATTGTAGAAAAATAGAACAGCAAAGTAAGATTAGTTCCAGGACAAAAATTTCAGATCCCTGCATAGGTTCTTCCTAACATGCATTTTGCATGTTCTTTTTAAAGATACCTCAAGCTGTGTATTTCAATATTTTTGAATCAGAATAAACTTATTTTTAATTCAATGTCCATGAACTTGTTCAATGTATGTTAGTATCTAATTTACATGTACCAAATCCTGTGAAGTTTTCACATTTTATTTATTTTTAAATTGTCCTAAATTTTATTTGAGAGGCAGATATATATATATATATACATGTATATATGTACATATATCTGCCTCTCAAATCTATCTATCTATCTATCTATCTATCTATCTATCTATCTATCTATCTACCTATCTATCTATCTATCGGTCTCCCATGTGGGTGCAGGGTCCATCCTCCGCTGCTTTCCAGGAGACAGGCAGGGAGCCAGATAAGAAGCAGTACAGCTGGACTCCAACAAGCATCCAAATGGAATGCTGGTGCTGAAGGTGGAAGCTTAGCTCACCAGGCCACAGCGCTGGCCCCAATTCTCACATTTTATTGAGTATTGAAAGGACCTTGGCATGATGTATCCCACGCTTACTGGTCATTCACTCTTTGCCCAGCACTGCATGAGATAGAAGAATATACTGTGACAAAGGCCTCTGTCTTGATTCTCTCTAGAATGCCTTCTTGAGGTGAATGTCCAGTGCCTGTGACTTTTTTTTTCTGTTGTTGTTGTTTAGTCTTGTGCATGACTAAATTTTCTAGAATGTAACAATCTTTGGCAGATGCATGGACCATCATTTTAGTTCTTTTATTTCTCTCTATTATGTCATGGGTCTGGCACATAATAAGCAGTTACATTGAACTTTGATGAGCTGTTCTAGCTTCAGGTTTGTTGTTGTTATTGTTAGCTTAAGGCTTTTCTATTTCTCTCTGTATTAGACTGAATCATGAAAGAGGAAGGGTTTAGAGCTTGTTATGTCACATGCATTGTCTTTTCCTCTGTCCTCCCCTTCCCCCCCACCCCCTATTTAAGATCAGGTTGTCTTGTGTGTCCAGAAAAGCCCTTTGACTCTCTTAGTGCTGGGATGGCAGATTTTGAAACTTTTCCTCTGGGTGGCTTTTGTATGCTTGGAGACTTTGTGAAGCCATGAATGAGAACAATGTCAAAGCATACTCTAGGGCCCGGTGTGGTAGCCTAGCAGTAGCCTTTGCTTTGCATGTGCCAGGATCCTGTATGGGCACCAGTTCATATCCTGGCAGCCCCGCTTCCCATCCAGCTCCCTGCTTGTGCCCTGGGAAAGCAGTCGAGGACAGCCCAAAGCCTTGGGACTCTGTATCCACATGGGAGATGCAGAAGAAACTCATGGCTACTGGCTTCAGATCAGCTCAGCTCCAGGCATTGTGGCTACTTGGGGAGTGAACCAGCAGATGGAAGATCTTTCTCCCAGTCTCTCCTTCTCTCTGTAAATCGGACTTTCCAATAAAGCTTTTGTTTGTTTGTTTTTAAAGGCACACTCTAATATATGACCGTGGAAACTCAGAATCAAAGGATGTAAGAGAGCCCTGGCTTTAGCCTTGATTTTGTAGAGGAAGTCTGAAGAGGTGGAGGGACTTTCTCATAATCTCACTGACAGGAAGCAGCCACACTGGGTGTAAAGCGTGACATCTCCCGGTTAATGCTGTATTTCTCAACTGGGATCCAATTCATCACTATTTTACAGCAAAGGGATGAGTGGTAGGCTGAATCACGCAGTATATCCACAGCCTGATCCTTGGGCCTCTTGGATGTTACTTTATATGGAATAAGGACTTTGCATATGTGATGAAACCAAGGATCCTAAGATAGGGAAGAGGAGTCAGAATCAGGAGAAGGCAACATGGCAACGGAAGCACTGATCAGAGTGATGCTCTTTGAAGACAAAGTGGTGCCAAGAAAACAGGCAGTCAGTACAAGGCAAGACAAGCAGTGATGTAAGCTCTTTGCACATGCCTCATTAAGGAACCAAATCTCCCACCACCTTGACTTTCACTGCAGAGAAACTAATTTCAGATCTCTGATCTATAAAGCTTGGAGGGAAATAGATCTTTTTTTTTTTAAAGAGTATTAGACATTTCAATTCTTATTGTTAATGTTAACCATGCTACCACTGAAGGACTGAAGGGTGTTTTCTATTTTAAGGTTTATTTATTTATGTTTTATTAGAAGAGAAGGAGAGAAGGAGATACAGAGAGAAATATCTTCTTTTGGCTAGTTCACTTCCCAGATGGGTGCAAGGGTTGGTCCAAAGCCAGGAGCCAGCAGCTGCTTCCAGTTCTCCCACATGGGTGCAGGGTCCCAAGGACTTGAGACATCCTCCAGCTTCCCAGGCCACAAGCAGGGTGCTGGATGGGAAGTGGAGCATCTGGAACTAGAACCAGAGCCTATATGGGATGTTGGGCAGATGCAGGATTAGGCTAACATGCCACCACACCCTGATCTTTTCTGTTTTAAAGCACTATATTTGTGATAATTTCTTATAGCAGCAATAGGAAACCACACAGGTGACACACAAGCCTGGCTTGAACATTCCCTGCAATTCTGAGTTAAACACATTGGCTCATCTTAACATGTTGTCCACTCATCAAATAAGTATTTACTGAGTACAAACTCATGCAAGGTACTAGGCTGTGTACTGGAGATTTAGTGGAAACATCGTCAGCAAAACTCACATTCAAATATTTGCATAAAAATTAGAGAATCAAAATTTTACTGAATTGCATGACTAAACTTATCATAAGGAGGAAGACAAAGTGAAATAGAAAGTTACAAAATTATATGCTAGGAGAAACTTTTTGAGGGTGATATTGTGGCATAGCAGGTGAAGTCCCACCCTGAGATGCCAGCAACCCATTCAGACACCAGTTTTTGTCCTGGTTGCTCCACTAAAACTCCAGCTCCCTGCTCATGGCCTGGAAAAATCAGCCAAAGATGCCCCAAGTTCTTGGGTCTCTACTGCTAACATAGAAGACTTGAATGAAGCTCCTGGCTCCCGGCTTTGGCCTGGTCCATTACTGCCATCTGGGGAGTGAACCAGCAGATGAGAAATACTTCTCTGTCTCTCTCTCTCTTTCCCTGGAACTCTTTCAAAATAAATTAAGTTAAAAACATTAATCTTGAAAATAATCCTTTTATTATCATGAATATATTGATTGAATTCTAATATTTATATCTTATCAAATGAAAAACTTTAAGGTTTGTTATTTTTTTATTGGAAAGGCAGATCAGATTTACATAGGGAGGGACAGACAGATGACAAAAAAAAATCTCCCATCCACTGGCTCACTTTCCAAATGGCTGCAAAAACCAGAGCTGAGCCAATCTGAAGCCAAGAGCCAGGAGCTCCTTCTGTGTTTCCCACATAGGTGCAGAGTCCCAAGGCTTTGGGCCATCCTTGACTACTTTCCCAGGTCACAAACAAGGAGCTGGCTGGGAACTGGAGTGGTTGGGACACAAACCAGCGCCTATATGGGATCCCAGCACTTGCAAGGTAAGGATTTAGTCATTGAGCCATTATGCTGGGTCCCAAATAAAAAATTTTAAAACTCAAGATGAATTTCCAGTTGCTATATGTGTATTTAATGAAGCTGCACTTTTCCTGGAAAGATTTCAGCAAACAATATGCCATTCCTGCCCCCCCCCCGCCATTAGCATTTGTAGAGCCCTCTGGCAGCTTGTCTTTGAAGGCCTGTGTCCTTAGATAAGGAGTAGCATGGCTCTTTCTGCATACTTCTCATCTCATTGGGACAGTGCAGGCTGGACCTTTGCCATTACCGTTGTTGTTGGCTCTTGGTACTGAGTCTAGATCTTCTCATTTATGAGTACAGGTCAGAATTGTTGGTTGGATTTTG